ACGCAGAGCACAGACATCAGGAGGATGGAGGAAGTTTTAGGAGGAAGCTTAGGAGGAAGGGTGGTGAAGCCCTGGAACAGGCTGCCCAAGGAGGCTGTGGATGCCCCATCCCTGGAGGCATTCAAGGCCAGGCTGGATGTGGCTCTGTGCAGCCTGGGCTGCTGGTTGGCAGCCCTGCACACAGCAGGATGATCATTGTGGTCCTTTTCAACCCAGGCCACTCTATGATTCTATGACCAGCCAGAGAAGCACAGCAGGTATCAACATGAAGCCCTTCTGCTCAAACTCAATATTCAGCACCAGATAAGAAAGAGCAATAAATGCAAACACAACTGTGTGTGTGAGTGCAGGAAGCCTGGTACGCAGCACTGGATGTTAAACTGTGATAAACTGCAAGTGAACAACAGCCAGAAGTTGCTGGGAGGAGCACAACTGTATCTACAAAGCAGCAATGTGACACCAGGACACATTCTTTCCCACCAGCACGTGTCTCACACCCCAGAACAGACCACCACAACAGCATCCCATCCCAGCAGTGAGAACAGCCTCGCACGGTGCAAGCACAGGTGACAGACAGGGCTCCGCTCACATGGAAGGCACAGAAAATCCCATAGCAAACCCATGTGTTTAAGGTCTCACTTCCCAGACTCAGCCTGCGTCCCACAGTGGCACTGCCCAGGAAATACGCTGGTGACAAATTTGGTGCCACCTTATATAAACCTTAATTTTAAATGCTAACTTCATAATGAGTGGAACAAAACTGTGTAAAAACATTTCCCACTCTAAGCCTGGTTTGATCCCCCAGTATGGCCTTCTTTTGTAATTACATCCCTTTGTGATCTCCCTCTAATGCCTTGTATTGTGACCCATAAAATAATCAGCCCCCTTTGTCTCTCTCTAATCCTTTTAGACTTCCTTCTTGTCTCTACACTCTTATAAATGCTGCCATTATTTGGGCTCAGCAGCTCTTCCCACCACCCCAGAGCCTGGAAAAGGGGCTGCAGGTTAAACCCTGAATGTATTCCGCGCAGAGGAGCTGAACCCATGGGAAGAAGTGGGCTGCTTGGAAAACCCCACAACTCGCAACCTCCTCCCCTCAGCAGCAGCTTAGCAGGGAAAACAACTCGTGAGCATGCATATTCAGCAGACCTCCCTCTTTTTATATTTTGTAAACGGCCTCCAGACCCTCGGCCTGGGAGTCTGTGGGGAGAGCAGGTGACCCCAAGATAGGCTGAGAATGACCGGGGGGATGGAGGAATGGGATACAGGGCTAGATGCAGAAGGGAAGGGGTAAGGGAGCCCTGTGGGCACAGAGGATGCACGGTGCTAAGATAGGTGATGAGTGGTCCCCGATGGCAAGGCAAAGGAGGAGTGTGGCATTGCCAGCCCAGGTCTGTCCAGAGCTGCTCTCACACCCAAGCTGTCACACACTGGGCCCGTTTCAACAAGCTTCAAGAAATGTCTCTAGATCCAAGTTGCACGATTGACTTACTTTCTCTTTTCTAATCTTTTTTTAATAGCACCAGATCAAACAGTGAAAATTGCTACTCTCAGGCTGGATGCGTGCAGAGCCTGAACCAATACCCAGTTAGATGGTGATTTCCAATTAGTGGTAACTGCTTGTTATTGAGTGATATAATCAATGGGTCTTACTTCACTGGCCGGGCTGTGATTTATGATGATGCAGAGCCAGCTCCATCAAATTACAGCATTGGCAAAAGGGCTGGAAATGCCACGAGACAACATGAGGAAGGCTGAGCTGAGCAAAGTGCAGCAGTGAGAAGAAAAGTGGAATCAATAGGTAGAGCTGTAAGAGAGCCACAGGTGGCTGTGGGTCAGGGAGCTTCCAAAGGAGTGGGTCCAGAGCTCAGGGGGTGTCTTCACCCACAGCCAGGCTCTCCTGGACATCGCTGCCTCAGGAAAACATCAAACTGATACTAATTAAAACAGCACCGAGTCATGAGAAATCATGAAACTGTCATTAGGGAAAAGATCTGCATTCAATAAGCTGATCAGATCATAAAAACACTCTGCATTCCACCTCTTCAACCTCCACACCAGGCTCTGAACAGGAGCAGAGACGCCAACCGAGGGCACTTCAAGCAGTGTGCCAGGCAGAGGGTGGGAATACTGAGGCTCCTGCCTGGCTCAGCCACATGTGCACTGCTTGCACAGTCATTCAAAAGGAGGTGACAGCACAAAAATATGAGCAACGTGCTTCACACACAACTTGCCAACCCACAGAACAGACAAGATCTGCTTCCCTCCACTCCGTATCTTTGCTTATTAGGGGCAAAATACAGAAATTCCCAAAGACTTCAGGCAATTTCATCAACCCATTTGGACGAGGAAGGTTTTAAGACATGTTCGCTCCATGGGGAAACTGAGGCAGGGGAGCAATAAGATCCGGGGCGGATGGGACTGACAACACAGGCTGCCCCGTTTCCCACTTCTACACACACCTATCACCGTGGCAGAGTTACAAACTGCAGCACCTCTGTGGTTTACAGCCTGTGCCAAAGCTGTGGTCTCTTTGCCAGGGATACCTGCCCTCCCAGCGCCAGCAGAGCCGCACGCGCCGCGGCTGCGAGCCCCATATTCTTCCACTTAAACTTTGCTTCATGCCAACTGTCAGAGTACATTTGAAACATAAAAATATGATATCCAACCCACATTTCCTGAATGCAAATATGTACATTCCTCCGAGCCAAGAAGATTATATTCCAAGCAGTAATACAAAGCCGGGGTCTGTAACAGTGATATGAGACTAACAGCGTGCCTTTGAAGACAGCAGAAAGTGCAGCAGAGCTCTCGAGGGGCTCTGCTCTGTCAGATCCCTTTTATTCCTCAGTAGCACGGCCTTGATCAACTTTCAAGATTTCTGTTTGCAAAAGGTTTCTGTTTCTCCTTTGCTTTTGTGCTCAGATGTCAGGCTCAGAGGGAAGAAGAGATCAGCGCTGGGACGAGGTTTTACTCGCTGGCAGTGTTTACTTTGCTCTGCACAGGGCTGCTCAGTGCGTGGCTTTTTTCTTCCAGGCAGCCAGCACCCATGGCTTCAATGCGGTGCTCCCCTAAGATGCAGCTGACAACCCTTTGTTTGATTTGATTATCTGGAGCATGGAAGATCACTGTTACCCGCAGGTAACCACCCTGACATACAGAGGCTTGAGGGGACAGCTGGGATCTGCTCTCAGGAGGTAGAAGCAAGCCCTGTGCTGCCATCCATCACACCGGGAGCTCAGTAGGGCAGCAGGTTACACCTGCCCACAGTTTTCCCCAGTCACTCCTGTTATCAGCAGAAGCTGTGGCATCAAGGCCAGGTGCCCTACACTCTGTGCTGGCCTCACCCAGACGTCTTCTCAGAGCCTAAAGACAGAATGGGCTTCTGAGCATCTTCAGAGTGATCCCTTTTTTGTTTTGATTCACACGAAGATGGCTACGAAAGGAAATGCTATTCGGGGACACACAGCACATCACATACATATTGATGCCACTGCCGAGATAACAGTGTTTATTGACAATCTGCTATCCCAAAGGTAATTCCTCTGGCTCTCATGTCTCCTGTTTACAGGTCTGAGAAGTCTGACACTGTGCTTGCACGTCAGCCAGCTCCCAGCTCATAAATGCCAGAGCCATTCACAAAAGCGCTCTGAGGTTTAGCACTGCAAGACTGACAAGTTTTAGATCCAGCTGCTAATCTGGCACGGACCCAAAGCCCTTGGCTCCTGGACAATGTCATTTCTTACACTACTGAAAAGCTAGGTTTGCAGATGGCCACTTCATGCACTTGGGAATTGTTATACACAAGGGCTGAAGTGTTCCCTTGGTGGGCTGCCAGCGGACCCCAGCGCAGCGGGGAGCGGGACGCAGAGCTTCAAAGGGCCCCCCAGGCTGGGGACTGCCACCAGGGGACCCTGGGTCTGGCCCCATACTTTGCCATAGACTTTTCTGCTTTGCACCAAGAAAGCATGGGGTAGCTTGCATATACAATGGAAGTAGTAGTAAGGGGATTGCACGCTAAGAATAGCGAGAGCCACCTTCCAAACAAGTTGGAAGACAATTCAATAACACTTAATTTAACAGATCAACATTTGGCCAGGTCTCAGGATCTTATCGGACACCCATGTTCCCAGCTTTACAGAAATTATACTTAGCAGCAACTTCTCATTACAAGCAAAAAAGATGAGCAGCAGTCTGAGAGCAAAGCCATCTACACAAGGACAGAAGCCACAGTGAACAGCTCCTGAGCTCTGCTTCAGTCTCAGGACAGATCCACAACCAGAGCTGGCAAAGGGGGAAAGTCACCAGAATCACAGAATCACAAGGTTGGAAACAACCTGCTGGATCATCCAGTCCAACAGCAGACACCCCAAGAGGACCACAGCCACTGCAGCATTTCCAGATGCAAGGGGCTGGAGTTGCAGCCAGCCCTGTAATTCTTCCTCCCCCACCTTTAAATTTCATTCCCTCGCTGACATTTTCATCTCTCTCCTCCTCCAGGCTCACCCACCAGACTATCTGTCTGGTGTTGTTAGCCTTGCCCCCAAAGGCACTGCCACGCTTGATAGTAAATAAGACCTTGCTGCCTCCACACTGCCTGTCTTAAATAACAAAATGAGAGAAACCATGACCTTCTGAAGGTCTTCGTCTCTGGTTTGGGAAGTACTGCCTGCCAAGCAGAGTCCATCAAGCTGCAAAGCTGACCCTGGTTTCAATCTCCCTGCCGTGGGCTGGCTGCCCCCACCAGCTCAGGGCCCCATTCACCCCTGCCTTGAGCACCTCCAGGGATGGGGCACACACAGCTCTCCGGGCAGCAGTGCCAGGGCCTCACCACCCTCTGAGGAAAGAATTTCCACCTGACACCTAGCCTAAATCTCTGTTCTTTCAGTTTAAAATCATTTCTCCTTGTCCTATCACCGTCACACCACGCTTCCCAGCAAAACCAGAGCCCACAGCAGAACCACAGCACGAGGCGCAGGCAGGGCAATGCCCCTACTTACTCGCTGCCTGGATCTTCGCCTTCCGGCTCACCACCAGCCCATAATGGTTCTGTGCCATGCAGTCGTACTCGCCCTCGTCGGAGGAGCCATCTCCCCTCACCCTCTGGAAGCGGGAGACGTACAGCGAGCCGTTGGCCAACATGAAGGCGTTCTCGCTGTCCACGATCAGGGCGCCGTTCTTGCGCCACGTGATGGTGATGGGCTGGATGCCTTCCACCTGGCAGTAGAGGATCAGGGGCTGCTCCTGCACCGCTATGTCATCGCTGGGCTCCACAACGAACGCCAGCTCAGAGGAGTGACCGAAATCTGAAAAGCGAGGAGAGAGAAGGGCAACACATCAGCAACAAGATGAAGCGACAGTCAACACTAAGGCAGCTAACAGGCCATTCACGTTCCAGAAAAATAAGCAACCTTTGGGTGTGCTTCGCATCCAAAGGCTTCGCCCTCAGAATCCCAGATTTGGTTTCCAAAGGCACATCCACAGACACAGCCCTCCAAGGCTGAGATAAGTTACTGCAGAATTTGTCCCGACAACTGGCAAACCCCCCCTTCCCATCGCACAGATACACACTCCTTTACTTCTTTTGCCAACTGAACGTTTAAACTCTATGTCTTTGGCCTGCTGTGCTTCATTTGGTCCAGCACCCCTTTTTAGAGTGTAATTTGCCATACAACCATGATTAGGCACTACAGAAGGCGACAGAAACAGAGCTGTTGTTTAAAGGTTAGCCCAAAACACACGCTGACATGAAAGACCAAGAAACAGGAATCATATAAATATTTGAAGGGTGTAAACATAGTGATGGAGGCAATTTTTTTTATTTTTTTTAAGGGAAGAGCAATGAAGAAATTCCAGAAGAGCAAGAAAAGTGGTATTTCCAAGCACAGGGAAAACCATTCTGGCCGTTCTTTTGGTGCAGCTCCCACAGCTCTGCTCTGACACCCAGCTTCCCCCTTCTCCTGGGCTCCAGGGGCCCAATGCCACGGCTTCCTGCAGAACTGGGATGCATGTGGCCAACATCTCCCAGCAGACAGAAGCCACAGAATGATCTTTGGGATGCCTGCCTCTGGCAGACCCCAGCACGGCCAGGATCCCACCACAAGAAAGGTCCAACTGGGTGGAGAGCAGATCGTTAATGCATGGGAGGAGTAGGAGAGAGCTATCCTAAAAGAAGGGAGAAAAAAAAAAAGGAAAAAAAGAAAAAATGCCTGTCTTTTTTTTTTGCTCTGCAAACCCAGCGCGATTTTTTTCTTTCTTTCTGCAAATCCCCATTGCTTTCTACAGCAACTTAAATTGGATTACGGGGGATAAACATTGAGTGCAACCTGAGCCAAGGCAGATGGACGGAGCAGACAAAGAAGGCCGGGGTAGTGCAGGCAGGTCAAAGGTACTGCTGTCAAGGTATGAGTGTGTGCAGGGAATGGACAAACTCTACTTAGTGACAGACACCTAAAGCACACACTTTATTAACCCATTAAGTCTTAAAACGTCAGGCTAGCCCCAGCCATCTCAGTGATCTATCGCTCGCCGTGACTGCTCTCTTTACGAGATAGCCTTGGGGTCCTCTCTGCAAGTTACACTGCAGCCAGCACAAAGCCATCAATTACTTTATGAAAATTAAGGAATTGAGATGAATGCTCTGCATTTTTCTGCAAAGTGGACAGAGCCTCATCAGCACCAACCATGCTGGGGCCCCACTCCATGTTATGCAGGATAGGGACCCCCTCCCGCCTCCCCTCTGAGCTTCTGGCTCTCTACAGACTGACCAGGAATTTAGGATTTAACCTAAAAGACAACCAAAAGAAAACAACCAACACAAATCCTAATGAATTAAATGCCCCATCTTCCCCCAGCTCCCCTGTAATCTCAGATAAAACAGCTTGTTATTATACGTACAATAAAGGAAGTAAGGAAGAATCAACATAATTACATGCCCTTCCCACAATAGCTGTCATTATAATAACCATCATTAAGGCGTGTGATTGGAGATAATCATGTTTACCTCCATAAACATTCGGTCTGCATCCAAACCACGGGCTGCTCAAGCAGCAGCAGTGAGGGCACTCACAATTAGGACTGGTGGGACACAAAGTGGGGCAGGGATGGCTGCTGGCTGCTCCTGGGGTCTCCTTGGGACTGTGCCTCCAGGGGTGACACAGGACATCGACTGCTTTGTTCCCTACAGATGCCTGACAGCACCAGAAGCACCCCAAATTCTGGCTCCTGGGATGCTTTTCTGTCCTTGAAGAAATTCCACTGCCACTTTCCTGAGCTTCAGGGCAAGGCAACCAGCTGATGGGATGCATGAGGAGAGGGAAGCCCAGCCCCTCCTTACATCAGACAGATAACAAGTGCTAATATGGGATTAAGGGAGAAGCCAAGCTCCATCCTTCACCCCAACACCCCATATAAGCTCTGGGACGCTGCCCCATCCAGTGCTGCACAGCATAAGGAACAAGCACGAGAAACCAGCCCACAAACTGCCCAGCCTGGGGCCCATGGGCTGCTGCACAGCTGCTCTGAAGAAAGCAGGGCACAAGAGATGGTAGGAACTGGGCACCTTACATGTTTTGTCCTCTTTGAAATATTTCCCTGCATCCACTTGGCTGTAACCACAGTGGGAATTTCCACTCAGTGGGATTACTCACAAATAGCATGGATTTCAAGAACTGGGCTCTGAACAGATGAAGCTGAGGTCTGGCCTTCCAAACGGGCACTGTGGGGACACAAGTCCTCAAAGCAGACCCCAGACCTGGGATAAGAGGTGAAGGCAGCAGGATGAGGTACTGGGGATAAGGGGCAGCAGCTCCATTAGCAGCAATACCTGACCAGGCAGCAGTGAGGCACAGAAATGATGGAAAGGAAGCAAATGATGCTCTGAACATGCATGGAAACAGCAAAAGTGTGACTAACTGTGAGAGAGGAAATCACTGAGGTCATATGCATTCCCTATAGAGTCTAAAAGCCCCAGCCATGGGCTGAGTACCAAACCTGCCCATCCCACACAGCATCCCGGGCCCCAGCCCTGCAGCATTATGCTCTGCAGTGCCTCTCCTGCAAGCAGGCACGGGGCTGGAGGTGAGGAGATCACCCATCAGAGCCCCAGCCCTTTGCTGGACAACCTCCTTCTCTCCTACAGAAGGATGAAGGGAGGAAGCCTTATCAGCTCTGACATAAAGGCCACCAGAAAATTATTGGAACCCTCACCCTACAAGTCTCCTTTTGAGAAACATTTACCATCTCCCTGAGCTACACAATATGAGACGATATGTGCAAATATTTAACAAAAACTACTTCCCCTATTGATCAAGCAGACAGGCATACTCAGAGAAACCAATTAGCACTTGTGCTTTTGAACCAAGAGATTTATTTAGTGCTGAGAGAAAGAACTTGGAATTAATGGGAAGCTTAAAAGACACTTTGAAGTATATTTAAAAAAAAAAAAAAAGTTTAATTATTTTTCACTTGACACTGTGATTCATGCTCAAAGCTTCAAAAGGATTCGCTCATATCTGAGTATTGTCCTTTTCCATTTGGGAAACGTGGCGTTGGCTTTCTGTCCTGTTCTTTGGAAAGGTACAGCAACCCACCAAGAAAACCAATCCCATAGAATAGAGTGATAGAACGGCCTGGGTTGCAAAGGACCACAATGCTCATCCAGTTCCAACCCCCTGCTATGTGCAGGGCTGCCAACCAGCAGCCCAGGCTGCACAGACCCACAACCAGCCTGGCCTTGAATGCCTCCAGGACGGGGCATCCACAGCCTCCCTGGGCAACCTGTTCAGTGCCTCACCACCTCTGTGTGAAAAATTCCTCCTATTCCTATCAGGAATGCCAATCCCAAAGGCCCAGCTCCCAGCATCCTGGGGCAGGATCCCTGCATTGCCCATGGTCACGGATGGGGCCTGGGCAACCCAACGTGGTGAGGGCAATCAGCCCACTGCAGTGGGACTGGGTGATCTTTAAGGACCCTTCCAACACATCCACGACCCTACAATTCGCCCTGGTGCACAGAGCTGCCCTGCACCCAGCCCTGTCCCAGCAGCACGTCCTTGTGTGAGCAGAAAGCTCTCGTGTGCCCTCCCCTGATTTACTGTGTTTGTTCCCAATGCAACGCAGCATAAATCAGCAGCGCCCCACCAGCAGCCATCACCAAGGTTATGCTCTGGTCCTGCTTCAATACAGCCAAAAGAAAGCATCCCCACTCATGAGCAGAGATCTGGGGCTGTGGGTTGGTGTTAAGACAAAGCATCAGGAGCAGGGCAGGTTGGGATGGCCCAACAAACTACAACTCCTGCTTACTGTTGGTGCTTTTATTTTTAAGCACTCCTGCAAATGCAAAAAGGTGGAGGGAGCAGCTCTCCACAGCTGAAAGGCGTTCTCCTGCAGATTAAAACAGGTTTCAGCTGATGAAATTGGCAACCTAAAAACCCAGCTGGTGCCCCTTAAATCTCCTCCAGGCTGACCCAGACACTAACGAGAAAAGCACTACACTGCAGTAAAGTGCAAATTGGCTCTTTAGGGCATCCAGAAAAAATTTACATGCAAAGAAGAGGAGAATAGGCTGCAGCATGCCCCACGTCTTGCTGGCAGTAAAGTTTACTGGCTCAGAATTTTTTATTCCCTTTCCCTTCGGACAGAGGCTACACAAAGTGATTTCTCCGTCAGGTACCCACTTGCTATGGGACTGCAGGAGGCTCTGTGGGGATAACAGGAGATCTTGGCCACCTGATGCCAAGTTCAGCCACGCAGCCAGCATCTCTGCCCTGGGTTTCATCCAGGGAAGGCAAACCCCACTCAGAGAGGCACAGAAACAGCTCCAAATAATTTTCAGATGTTTGAGACCAGATCGGGCCAATCCCAGGAGGCTGCTTGTTAAGCACAGAGTGGAAGCAGGAAGCACTCCCAGCACAAAGGGCCCTTCCAGGACACGCTCCATGAGCCCTAAAGAAAGGGCACAGCCTGGCAGTGGAGCTGGAAAGGGCAAAGACCCTTTTCATGCTAACAGCTCTACCCACAGGAAGGAACCCCGAGCACACAGCAGCCCCATGCTGTTATCCGTTCCCCACGTGGTCAGCAGCCCCAACCTGATCTCACCTCTCATACAAACACAGAATGACCAGGGAGAGAAAGGATGAATGCGGAGCTGGGCTCAGCATGGCCAGAGGCACCCCGACATCACCGGGTCCCATCGCATCGCCCTGAAATTTGTGTGCAGTGCTGGTGGGCAGGAGCACGCAATGCACAGGGAGAGGCAAGGTCCTTCTGGAGGCACAGAGCTTTCTGCACGTGTTAAACACTTTGAAAGCCTTCACCACAGCGTGTTCTCAGGAAGCACCCCATTCCCTCCTCCCTCATTTCGCTTCCCTCTCCCTCTGCTCCATCACCTCCCACCCCACAGCTCTGAAATTTGGGATGGAGGGAAACACCACCTCAGTCATCTCAACGCACAGCTGAGCACTGCAGCACTCCCTTAGGTCCAAAAGCAGAGTGAAACCCAACCACTCCTCTCCTGTTTTGTGCACTCTCAGGCTTCAGCAGCAAAGTTCCTCATACAGAAACATCCCCCATGTGCAAAAAGCCAGAAAGGCAGCAAATCCTCCACTCTGGCTTTAAGTTACCAGCACAGGAGCACGTTGGCTGATAAGTGAGCGGGCTCCTCTTAATGCAGAAGCAAGGCAGAGCAGCACGCTGTGCGCTTTGCCAACATGCCTCCCTCTTCTCTTAAAGTGCGATTATTGACATGTTTGCCTCCTTAAACCATTGGTTTTATGTGCTTGCCAATGGCTCCTGAACACGTGCAAACAATTATTTTTATTTTCTTGCAAAACCAAAATGTTGCATATTCTTTTGGATAAACCAAGCTCGGGTAGGTTTTCATGAGCCCCGCTCCATAATTTATTAGTTTCTAAACTCTGTAAAACTAAAAGCTCCAGTAAAGTTCAAATAAGTTTGTGATTTCAAAGTAATTTTGAGCAGACCGTTCGTGTTCCTGCCCAGCACTATTCAGCTGATTTCAGTGGGAATTCTTCATCTGCAGAGGGGGGGCTCCGGCATTGTTCTGTTAGATCAAATAAAAGGACAATATCCGGGGTCAGAAGCCCAGGAGCGCAAAGCACGAGGAAATTATGGTGGGGGAAGGGGACACAGGAGAAGCATCTCCTGCCCCAGATCCGCTGCTGGCTATGGAATGGAACCGCTGGGGCAGTGCATGGCTTTGGGGCCACACCAACACTGGCAGCAGCTTTGTGTGATAGCCACTGCCCCACTGCCCCACGTCACACTGCCATCACAACCAGCACAAGGCACGGCTTTGCTGCCCCAGCGTTACACACAAAGGTGTTCCTGTTGGAAAGTGGGATGGGAGGAGATGGGGCTGCGAGCCCCAGGTTTGGGCTGCAGGGGGTCAATGCTCAGCACTGTATGTGCTGTGAAATGGGGCTCTGCAGAGCAAGAAATCACAGGGAGCAAAGCTCAGGCAGAGGGAAAGGAAGCAGAAGGCTTTCTCATGTACACACGCGTCGGGGGAAAGGTGTTGCAGCTCTCTGCTGGGCTGCTCTGCACTGCCTGCACAGGGGTGCAGCAGCCAAAACTGGGATCGAGCAAAGAGAGGCAGGGACCCAGGCTGCAACTTTGGATACTCTGCCACCATCCACTCCTAACGAGAGCAGGAGCTCGCAATGTGCATGACAAGTAACAAGGCAAAGAGCCATCCGATCAGTGCAGCATTTCCAGCTCCCTGTGCTGGGGGTGGCAGGGTGGATTGGGGGCACCAACCTGCCCTGCAGCCCCATCCTTCAGCTGGCTCTCAAATCCCCCAAAGGAAGCTCAGTATGGGTGGCACCAGCAGACACAAGCCCTACACTGGTCCCAAACGCAGCACCGGTCCCAGTGACACACACAGACCGCCCTGCTCTGGGGAAAGCAGCAGCCCTCTGCCCAGAGCTTCTCCTGTTGGACCCCTCAAGAGAAACAAAACTCAAACGCGGGCTCGAATTTCATCCACTGTCTTTGAGCGGTACTGAGGAAATGATACCAGATACCCTCTTAGATATATTGAGAAAAAATTGTGTATTGTGTTACACCAATTTAGCAGAAGGAAGTCCTTTCTCACATCAAAAACCAAAAACACAAAGCCACGCAGAGCAGGACTTAGTGAAAGCTTACGGCTTCAATAATTCAGAAGTTAAGCCTACTTAAATATAAATGACGACGCTTAATTCCGAGGCTGCTACTGAGCACAGCCCTAGTATCCTATGCCTGCCTCTGAATGCTGGGCTCAGCAAGAAAGAAAAAAGCTGCCCACCAACCAAAACAAAGAGCTCCAGGAAATTAAGAGGGAGAAAAGAAAGAAAAAAAAGAAAAAGCAAATAGAGTCCCAGTGCTGAGCGCATCCAACGCGCTGCGTTTGAGCCGCGTTTATGGGAGCCAAGCGGGCGGGAAGGGCGAAGCACACCGGCCAGCACCTGCGCTCATCGTCCCCATCCGTCCCTTCTACCCCGGCCGCAGGAGGCTGTTTGGGACGCAGCCGTACCTCACTGCTAAACACAGCGAGGGTGGGGGGAAACCTCAGCGCTGCAAAACTTCTCACGCAGAGCCAAGCGTCCGTGTTGGTCCTTTACAACCGGACAGCGCGCAGCCCAGGGGCTGCCCTACCGAACCGCAGCAGAACGCAACACGGGACAAGGAGACAGCGGCAGGCAAAGAACCGGGCAAACCCAGCTCAGTAAGGGTTTGCTTTCAACGATTCTCTCCTTTTCTCTCCCCCTTAAAAAAGAGGTACATTTGCAGCCAACCCCAGCAGTGCTGCAGAACCCATGCCTTCACATCCCCTCGCATCCCCCGCAGGTTGCTCCCGTTTCCCAGCACGAACCGCTGCGAACCACGTGGCGAAGTCTGCGCCGGGAACAGCCCGCAGCCCATCTCAGGACGCCCCGCATCGCAGCCGATCTCCCGCACCCTCCGCTGCCTCTGCCCGCACCGGGCTGTCTCAAGCAGTTTCCACATTGCTTTACGCGGCTGCTGAGCAGAAAGAGGGCACGGGAGGCACGAGAAGCACCGCGCGGCAGCACCGCTCCGCAGCAGCGCGGCACAGCGCGAGCCCCGCGTCGTGTCAGCGGGAAGCGTCCCGTGCGCTGCGTGCAGGCAGCTCTGCGCGGTGCACGGGCTGCACACCGAGCCGGGGAAGCACGGGCACGGCATCGCGGGGTTCAGATCGGCGCGTGCCGCTCTTACAGCCGCCGAAGCACCGCTCGGTCTCATGCCTGCAGCCGCGGCTTCGGCCGGGCGCAGCGCTCAATGCGGCCGGGCCCCCAGCGGGTCGGGGGCCGCTCTGTCTGGCAGCCCCGAAATCTCAGCCCCACGGCCCCGTCCTTCCATCCCATGTACGGACGGTACCGCGGGCGGCGCCGGGCCCCGCTCAGCCCAACGGGAGCCCGACGGAGCGGCGGTGGCCGCAGGCGGGGAAGGGGCCGGGAGAGGCGGGGGGTCCCAGAACGGAGCGCGGAGCGGGGGCTGAGCCCATTCAATGAAGGGGGGTGAGGAACCGACCGACGGACAGAAAGCGGCGACGGCTGCAGGTCCCGCCGCTCCCCACGCCCTTACCTCCGCAGCAGAGCAGCAGCAGCCCCAGCAGGCGGGCGGGCAGCGCGGAGCCCCGCGGGGCCATGGCATCCCGGGCGGGCGGCTCGGCTCCCCGCGCCCCACCGAGAGGGAGCGGCCCAGGAGGGAGAGGAGAGAGGCGAGAGCCACCCTCCAGTGGAGAGAAGAAAGAGAGAAAGAAAAACTAAAAAAAAAAAAAAAGAACACCAAACAACCAAAAACGGGGGTGAAGAAAGCAAAAAGCGGATTTCAGCGCAGCTCCCCTCCGAGCGAGCACGCCGCCGCGCCGGGCGGGCGGGGGGCGGTGCTGAGGGAGCGGGGCCGGCGGGGGCGGGCAGCGCCTTGCGCCATCTTGCGTGTCCGCCCGCCGTGCCGCGCTGCGCTCCGTCAGGGGCCGCGCGCCTATCGCGTGGGCGCCGCGCCGTCCCTCGGGGCTGTGCTTTGCCGGTGTTCCCTCAGCAGAACCGCCTCGGGGGTCTCCCACCGCCGTTCTCCTGTGAGGGTCTTCCTCGCCCGAGCTGCCCCGTGGATCACCGCCGAGGCATCTGTCCTCTCCGGTCTCCCTTCGCTACTGCTCGGTCTCTTCGCCGCAGCTGCCTCACGGCTTTCCTCTGAGCGGCATTCCCTCATGATGTCCTCTCACCATCTTCCCTGGTCTCCTGACTGCTCTCCCTTCGCCGCTGTTTCCCCACAGGTGGCGGTTGGCTGGGGCAGCCCATGCGATCAGTAGAATCACAAGGTTGAAAACAACCTGTCAGATCATCTAGTCCAACCGTCTTCTCGTTACTGTTGCTACCACAAAGTAAACCATAGGGCTTAGGGGATGTAGGGGGTTGTTCTCATCGTGGCTGCCTCAGACCTGGCCCCTCGCTGCACCCGTCGGTGCTCAGTCCCTGTGTTGGAAATGGTGCCCAGTCCTGCAGCACACGGTGAGCTCAGAGCTCTTGGCTGCAGTGCTTCCCAGTGATTGCCTCAGCTGTGCTCGCACCTGGGGGCTGCCTCTTACCCGCCTACAGGGATGGTAACCACAAACCTGGCGTTAAACTGGGCTGCAAAGAGAAAAGGTGCTGTTGAGATGGAGCAGCTTCAGACTGCTCTGTCGTGGGTTTCATTCTCAGGCTATCTTGGAAACCCAGACTGCCCACTGAGTTGGTTGTCAGTGCAACCAACTGCAGAATTGCATCTGCAGAGAGCGGGGCAGTGCGGTTGCAGGGTGGCAGCTGGGAAGAGATCCCAAATCTGGGGAGGCACAGAGGACAGGCATGACAAAGCAGCAGCTTGGCTTGTCCCAGCCCAGCGTTCCTTATTCTAAGCACCATGATGTGACTTAGCTGGGTGAATCATACAGCCATACTGCCTTTGAAGGTGCTCCTGTATTCGATGAACAACCCAGCGAGGAAGGACTCAGCAGGGGATGAGGTGCTCAAATCCTACAGCAACCTGAAGATAACGTCCCAGCTTATGTCATGAAATGAGGTAACAACGCTGCCCAGCTCTCAGCCCTAATGCCAGAACAGTACCTTGCTGACACAGAATCACAGAATCACAGAATTGTAGGGGTTGGAAGAGACCTCCAGAGATCATCGAGTCCAACCCCCTGCCGAAGCAGGTTCCCTACACCAGGTCACACAGGTAGGCATCCAGGCAGGTCTTGAACATCTCCAGAGAAGGAGACTCCACCACCTCCCTGGGCAGCCTGTTCCAGTGCTACCAGTCCTCCCACTGGTGCTGCCCAATACTCTGCCCCTCTCTGCAAACACAACTTCCACTCATCATAATCATCGTTAGTGAAGTCATCTCTTCAGTGACCGCTCAAAGTCTTTTGTGTGTTTGTCTGAGGGCAGAGGGGGCAGACAACAGGAAAAAAAGAAAAACAACAGAATTAGATCTTAAGTCTAATTCTTTGCACCAAAACAGGTTACTAATCCTGCCTGGGTCGAAAACTGATGAGAAGACGTTGTAAAGACAGGCAATGGATAGAGACATCTCCCTGGATGGTGCACTCTGATGCGGTGGAGCCGGTTAGCATGGAAAGGAGACGTCACTGCATCTGCTCCACATTAAAGGTTTGCTCATTTAGAGTAGAACTGATCTGTAAGAAGTTGCTTTCAGTGGGGAAGAATTTGCTCTGGGCTGAACTGGCCCTGTTGGCCCCTCAGGAACATCTGAATTCCTGCACCGTTGCTGACCTTTTGCACAAACTCTGCTCCTGCTTCCTGCTCCCCAGCCGTCTCCCTGGCTGCCACCATGCAAGCATTTCTCTATCACTCACAGCCACTACAGGCTCATAGCAGCTCCAGGGACGCTAACAGTGTGGTAAACATCTCCAGAGTCTGACCAGCCCCAAGGATTTCTTGTCAGAATCAATAATTCTAAGGGAAAAAAAAAAACAAACAAACAAACAAAAAAACCCCCAACCCACCACAGTGTGTTTTGTAGTGCTTCTTTCCCCCAGAAGCCTGATTTTGGATGCTTTTGCTCCTGTGCGTAGGTGATGGCAAGGGTGGCAGTGGCAGGACACAGGACTGGGGACAGGCAGCCATCTCTTCGAGGGCATGACTCAGTGCAGCCCACATCTTGCAGCTGACATGGGTGACACCACTGGTGTCACATTTAGAAATCCCAAGTGTGCCCAACAATGGGACTCATGTTCAAAGCAATGAGATTTTCAAAGAAAAATGCAAGTTTGCAGCCTTTCTTAGAGTTACTCGAGGACAGCATCTGGAGCACTCATGTTTTTCTGTGCTCTTCTGTAACTATGAGGGCTTAAAAAGTTTTGTAGTGGTGGACCCAGGAATTTGTTTATCACGCTGTGAGCAGAAATCTGAAAAACGGTCCCTCATGCAGAGGGGTCCGAGCACCATCTGTCTGTTGTCCCCCTCAGAAGTTACCCAAGTTATCCTCCATGAGAAGCAGCTCAAAGGGCTCAGCTCACCGCCTGCTCAGTGAACTTCTATCAGTGCCAGAAGTGCTCCTGATTTACACCAATTAATTGCAGACTGAGGTCCCCAAGACACCATTAGTAATTTCAGGGAACGAAGCGGGAGATTAACCTGTCTGAATTAACTCCATTTATTATTCTCAGTGCAACTGTGGTTTCCCTGTCTGCTAACAGTCTGGGAGCTTTTCGCTTCCATAAATATAGGTGGGGTTTTGACGTCTGTTTTGTGATCTGTGTCATAGGAGAGCCAAAACCAGGGCACCCATCTGGAGGTACCGAGCTCTGCCGCTCCTGGGAAGTGCTCCTGGAAGCTGCTTTTCAGCATGAAAACTCTGCTATCCGTGCTCAGGGCTGTGGCTGGGATCAGCTCAGGCTGTGTGACAGAGGGGTGATGACATGGTGTTGCTGTATGTCCTTGGTCAGACCTCTCTCCCTCAGGCATGGCTGTAAAATACTGCACGGAGGCATGCTGCTGTTTGGAAAGCCTGGGAGAGGCTTTATAACTGCTTTATAACACATTGCTTGCAGTGCAGAGTGTAGTATGGGGTGCGTGCAGCTGTGGAGCATCATCCCAAGCCACCTCCCTGCATCACAGCCCTTTGCCTCATTGTGCCACTTCCCACCAAGCTGAGCTGGGCAGCGTTCTATACCGGCTGCTTACCGACTGAGCTGACCAGAGCCTTGAGCTCAGTGCAGTGATTGCCAGCTGCATCACAGCACTGGATACAGGGGTGATAACAGAATGAAATGCAGACAGATGCCTTGCTCTTACCTTCACTCCTCTGTAATCCCAGTTCCCCTGTAACTGCTCTGTCTGTGAATCCCTCTGCTGTTAACTCAGTTGCTGCCTTGTTTCCAGTTGTCCCACTCAGCAGCATCACACTGAGAAGTGGGACAAGCAGTCAACCCCCCACAAAGGTCCTTCCTCGCTCATTACCTGTCATTAAGAGAAAGACTCATTGGAGTTACAGTTTGACAGAGTTCCCTTCAACCACCATCAGAGAACACTATGCTAAGTGCAGATTTATTACCACTGTAATGCAGATAAAATGAGATTTTATGGCCCTGTAGTCCTGGAAGCATAAAGCAATAATGGAAGCTATCTACTCAAGTAGGGAATGCATCCTAGAAAGAAAGGGAGATGCACGGGAGGTTAATAGCGTTCCTCAGGCACTGCCAGGCATCTTCTCACCAATCTGGCTGGACACAAGCCACTAAGTGTTTAATTCAGTGCATCGTCTAAGAGAGGTCCCACCGTTTGTTTGCTAGATGCTTCTGCTTATTCTCCAAATAAAATTCCTCAATAATGTAATGGATAAAACTGGAGGGTTTGGGTTTGTTTTGTTTGTTTGGTTTTTTTTAATAGGAATCAGCTCAATAGCTGAGAAATGAGCAAGCATCAAGAAAGACCTGCTGACCCCAAACTGTGCCTGAAATCCCACCAGAGTGATGTCTAAGGAAGAAAGCACTCACCACCATAACACTCCCAGCCTCCATGGTTACAAGCTCAGGCACTGATGTGAGCATGAATCCCGAGTCCTGCTCCCACCAGCAAGCACTGCAGCTGCAATATAACCTCCAGTTAGCAGACCAGACACTGGTTCTGGGGTATTTGCCTCCACTCTTTCCATCAGTGATCTCTATTAGCTCACACAGATGAACAAGTCCTGCATCAGTCGGGTATGGGCTGCAGAGAGGTGGTGAAACCTATGCCATCTTCTCACTGTGACCCAGCACAACACCAGAGGCACTCTGCCACGGAGCCTCAGGGCTCTCAGCTGCAAGGTCTTGCTCAGATCCATCGTGAGTTCCTCAGGTAAGCATGAGGAGATTGGAGATGTAAGCAAATGCACATGCGGTCCCTCTCACACCACAAGGCACAGCTCTAGTCAGGCTGCAGAGATACACAAGCATTGGGGCAGGATCAGCCTTCCACAGCAAAACTCTTCCTCAGAGCAAGAGCTGCAAAAGATGGATTCATGAGACAAATTCCACTGGTTTTCTGTTGTGCGTGTGAGGTTTTTTAGGGTTTTATTAATAATCCATTAGTTAAGGAATATAAGGACAACGTTTTCTTACACTTTAGCACTCGAGTATTTGTGGAGTAAGAACAGTCTCTGAAGAAAGAAAGTTATAATTAAGTACAGCATGGAACCAAATACAGACACAATCTTCAAACAAGACCAAGCTCTGGTTACACATCCTTATGCACTGTGCAGAAAGTGAAACGAAATTTAATTTTAAAATATTAGCATAGGAACATGATAACAGAACTAGATGGTAGGTTTCTGCTGGACTACACACCTCTTTTCTAACAAGGGTATTGATTAGAAAAGACACAACGATCCCTTCCAAACATCTATTTCTAATGAGATCAAAAACATACACAGCGATCCACTACAATGGGTGTTTTCTTATAGGTGTGTTCATGGGCTGATCTCAGGATTATTAGCTAGTAACATAACAAATTCTCAAAGCCTAGGTTATAAGTTAGCTCATCTTAACTATTTAAACCAGAACCTTACTGTCTGTTAAGTAAGAAATCAAATTGCAAAGTTGAGATATTCAGCTCAGTCGTGTATTTCATCTAACAAAGATCTAAAAGAAGAAAAGGATAAGAATTGTGACTCACAGCAGCATGGAAATATACAGTTGTGTAGCCAAACGGTAACATTAATACCACAAAATTATGCCAGAGAGACAGATTTGACATTTTAACAAAGTAAAACAACACACACTGGCAAAAAGCTGAATAGCAATAACCTTTAGTGTTACTGGAAGGGAGAAAAGGGGGAAGGGAGCCTGATGATTAGGAACATATATTAAGTACAATGGGTAATTAAAGGTATCAACAGTTTGAGCGTCTGTGAGAAATTTGCAAGAAAGCTACTTATTTCATGATAAAAAAATATACGCACTGGTTGTTTCAAGCTTTACATGAAATGTATGTTATCTGTCTTCTTCCTTTCACTTCTAATCCAGTCCCACATGTGCCCAATCAGCATGGGGGGGACGACTGGGGTACAGCTGCACCAAACGAGGGCACAGAGATCAGCTTTGCTGCTGCCAATCAGCAGTGATCTCTTGTTTCTGAGAGACCTGCTCTGATTTCTGCAGCTGAGGTTTGCTGCCTCAGTCCACTGTCACGCAGCACCTGGACATCCAAGCTTCATGCTTCAGAAGCCTCAACATGAGGAAACAAAGAATTTCTGTGGTGCTTAAGGAGAGCACTCTGCTCTCAGACTATGCAGCTAACCCAGTGGTTTGGGACTTGCCCAAGATGATCCAGGTGAGCAGTGCCACACCATGCTTGCTTGTGCGGGCTTCCATGACAGGCAGGGATGGATAATGGGCTAATCAGCATTGCTCAGCCCATGGTTATGTGATTCCTAAAGCTGGTACAGACAAAGCAGAGGGTGGATGTACCTAGGAGTGTCCCTATGGCACAGCCCCTCATCAGCCACGGGACTAAGCCTCCATCCACACAAGTCCTCTGTATGGAAAGATCAGGGCTGACACGTGACCTGCCCCAGATACAGCATGACCACAGGAAGCCAGCAGAGCTCCAACATCCATTGTGCCTGCTGTGGGCCCAACTCCTCCTGGCACTGCCCTCCAGCAGTGGGATATCAGTGGAAGTAATCCTTTGACGTGCTTTCATGCTTGCAGATGCCAACTTGGCTTTGGAGATGAAAGAAGTCACAGATATTCTTCTAGAGCGAGCTTTTTTGGAGCGTGGTCTTCATCTCCTTTTGCACACCAAAGTTAGCATGGCTTGTCCAGGCAAGGACTCCCCCACGAAACTGCTCAGCTCAGGTCCAGCTACAGAAATCTGCCCCCACCTCCACAGCTGGTGCCTGATAGTCCCCAGTTGGAGGGTTTACACTCCTGCAATTGCATCCGCTCTCATATAACTGTGAATGACCCTTATTGCCTGCAATAACACTTCACTGCCTTATCGGTAACACTGCTAAGTTGTTAGTTTCAAAGTCTTGTGGCAGTGAGTTCTTGGAGGTTAATTATGCACTTCCACTGCCCAGTTATCATGGCTTTCTAGCTTCATGCATTAACTCCTGCCTAGCAATGATTTCCAGCCTCTGCTTTTCAGCCATGGTGCTTCAGAGCCCAGAACAGCATTTCTGAGACTCCTGGGCTGGAGTCGCTCCAAACACCAACTGGAGCAGCTGAGTCAACAAGTAGAAGTACAGACGTGTAACAGAGTGTCATGCTGGGGGGAGAAACTGTAGGATGGGGAAAGGTGGAAGCTTCAACAACAGCTTCCCAACAGTGTACATGGAGGCTTAGAGGTTCCCTGCTGAACAGCAGTCTGGCAGCAAGGACAAAAGCTGGTCCAGCTCAGCTCCAACGCAGGGCACATTGAGAGGGTTCTCAGAAACGATGAGAAATTATCTCCTGTTCATCCAAAACCTTCAGCAAGCTCACTGCTTATGGGAGGCCGAGTTGCTCTCTGGAACTTGAGCATGAGTGGTCTCCATTTGAGCACAAAAGATGTCCCCAGGCTCACAAGTTAATTTTGTAATTGTTGGTTCTTTTCTTCCTCTTTGCTAGCATAAATTTCTTAAAGAAAAACTGATCAACATCCTGCCAGCTGAAGCAGTCTCCTTTGGCCAGCTCCTGTAAAACACAGTCCTACAAAGAAACACAACCCCCTCCAGCTGTAGGGAACGTGTCTAAGCAATACTTAGAAACAAAGCAAGATAGACATCAGCTCTGCAGCACTATTCAAAAAAATAGTCAACAACCAGTGCAAACATATTCTTTAGAAAAAGGCAGTATAAGAATAAGTTAAAACCTATAATGGACTATAACAAAAGAGTAGATCTACTGCTTTTTTCTCCAACAGACATGAGGTAGTTGTGTTGTTAGGGAGGACAAAAAAAACAAAGGAAAGAGAGAAGTAGTAAAAATGCTACTCTATACCACACGCTACTCCACTTCATAAAATTAAATAATATAAAGATGCTCCAAGGAAATAAAAATACATGTCGTACATTAAAAGGACAGATGCGTACCTAAAATATTAGGTACAAGAACCTTCATAAAACAAAGTCCAGGTTGGTGAAATGACCCAGACACCAAAGAAGGTTCTATACAGTACAAGTTGTTAGAGGCACTCGTAGAGTGTGTAATAAAAGGCCACTACATCAGCCTGCTAGCAATGGTTACTGTGGCAGCGTACCAAGAGAGCCTTATAATCCTTTTAACCACGGGAGGGCAGAAAAGGCTGGTGGTTACAGCTCTGTTTGTTGCATTGGTTCCACCCCCGTGTGGGACTCTGACAAAGTCCATCCCAACACCAGAAGGCAGCAGGTAGTCCAAGGCCTCCGTGGACAAGAGAAGTTGAGGAGACTGGCTCAGCACACCGTGCCTCTTGCCAGGCGTACAGGGGCCTACAGTGAGGTGATGGCACCAGCCCAACACAGAAGGCTCTGCTCTAGCTGTGGTTTCATGTCAGTCTTCGGCAGACACCTCAGTTCTGCTCCCAGAACACCAGGTTGCTCATTAGCTTCAGCAGAAAGATGGGCCCTTATCAGTCTACCTACTGATTTCTTGAAGGCGATATGTACAGCTGACAGGTCCTAACCCCGTTCTGGTGAGATGCTGCACCTTCTTAGCTCGATCCAGTGAACCGAGGGCATGCAGTACCTCAAGGGAACAGGCCCTTAGCGGTGCTTCTAGCTCTCCCATGATCAAAATCAGATTAGTTTACTCTTCAATGATTGTGGACACATGCTATGTTCTCAGATGCTGAGGATGAACTGGTTAAACCAGAGTTACTACACAGGGGAGCCTCCTCTGGGGCCACAGATAGCGCCTGGCACTTGACTGCCTGCACATCCCCCCTGCCTTCCGGGATGGAGTCCAAATCTCCACTCTCCACTGAATCCAAACTTTCCCCGTTCCTGTGGAAGCCATTGGTGAGCCCAGGGATGCAAACGGCCTCTGCTGTGTTAGTCTGTCTGGTGGCATACAACAGCTCATCCTGGGTCTGAGCCTCCACGCTGCCCGAGCAGTCCATCAATGCTTGGAGAGCATCCTGCTGGGTGCTGGGAGAGCTGGGGAGAGCCAGGTCACCAGAGGAAAACTCTTCAGGGTCCTGCTCCTCGGTTTCTGTCTCTTGAGTATCCAGGGTGCGCAGCTGGGAGTCACAGTCTCTGTCGGAGGCTGAAAAATCAGAATGAACAATGACCTCTGCTTCCACTTGGTGGAGGCTGGCTGGCGGGTGACTCTTCTTTACTTCATTCTGTTATCAGAAATGGGGAGAAAGAAAAAAAAAGCCATGTCAATTAATTGAGGCTGTGACCTAACCAAGCACTGCAACGTGTGGGTTTTTTTAATTCCAGAGTGCAATGGGATGTACACCTGCTGCTATTAAGCATTATCTTGATATGTTTCTCAGAGCTGAAGCCTTAAGAAGCAACTTAGATAATCTCAGGATCATTATTCCTGTTTTACATTTGGGAAAGCAAGTCCCAGGGGTGATCTGCCCAAGGTTTCTTGGCAGGCTGGAGCAACCACTCCTCCAAGCCTCTGTCAGACAACAATTTTCAAAACTCACCGCTCCATTTCCATATTGACAACCAGATTTCAAGAGCAGCACTTCAGAAAATTGGCTGCTGAGAAAGCTTGTGGTAAAGACCCACACCAAGGCTCCCTTCCCTTTTCTGGTTTAATCTTGGTACATGACACCAAAGGTTTGCTCATTTGCTCATTACAACCCTTGTCACAACTTGCAAGGGTTGGTATAAATTCAAACACTTCAAATCAGAAAGAAAGCAGTTAACTTCTGCAGAGTTTAAGCAGAATTCAGGCTATAGGTCTCCACAAGCCTGGCTAACAGGTCACTCATTCTGCCAAATTATCATCCAGTAATTCAACAGTCAAACGAGTTTGGAAGGTCCCAAAGAGCTCTTCAGGCAAATCAGTGCTCAGACTCTGCACTGTGTGATTTAGGAGTAAGAAGACAATTCAAAGTATGGAAGTGAGATATCTCGTGTGTAATTTGTGCCTTCTGTTGAAGGCAATTTTTTTGCATCATTTACATATTTTAACAGTTTTCCCCTTTTGTTGACAAACTCCGATGGATAAGCTGTGCTGTAAACAGTGCCCTGTAATTGGGTTGTAAAACATCATCTTAACTCTATCCACAATGTTAATTACATCCTGTGTATAATTGATTTTCACACTACTATCTAGGAAGAAAACATAGGTGGGTTACTTAGAAGTATTTGTTGGGGGTGAGCTTCTTAAAGCAGTAATTAGATCCACCTTCTGGTACAGAGCCAACCCGAATAGGTACTGGCTTACTTTGCTGGGATGGCATAGATGTTACGTGGCACAAATGCTATTTATTCCAATGAAACAAAACCAGAAATAGCATTTTCTCCCAATCTATACATGCACACAAAGGTGGCAAGTGCAGTGGAAATTGCTATACTCTACCTGGAGTTTCAGGAGCTTAAATCAACCCTCAACCTTTGACTCCTACTGTAGACCAAAATGCAATGCCTTCTCCAAGCAGGCACACCATACATGTTAGTGAGACTGTGCTGAGCACTGCAGCTCCTAACCCACGGCCACAGCGAAGGCCCAAAGGAACCAGGGCTACTGCAGCCCTCCTGCCAGCTGAGCTGCCCAAGACCTGTAGACATCACCAAGAGGACAAAGCCCTTTTCAGCTTTTGTTTTTCTTCCAGCCCTTTTCAGGCCCCCTGGGCTGCCTGAAGTCAAGGCAATGAGGGGAGAGCTGAGACTTTCGGAAATGAGTGGAAAAAAATATGCACAGATCTTACTCAAATCCCACCAGTGGCACAAGCATACACTCCTATACCTAGGAAAAAATAAAGCCCATGGTCAGCTATTTTTTCCGATGCTGCAAAAAGGAAAAACAGAGCTGGCATACAGAAATGGAAAAAACACTCCGAATCCACAAGTCAATAAACCAAAGACACCCACCATCATGGCATCATAAACCAGAGCTTGGAACAAAAGCTTCTGTCCTGCACTGGAAGGGAGCTTCAGTGATCCGTTCACAGCAGGGAGAGGCTCTTTTGTGATAGTGTCCCTATATCTGGCTGTGCTGTTTGTCCAGGGCTGGTTAGCTGATTTATTCCATGAAGACTGCAGAAAAAAAAAATATCAGAAGAGAGAAGAGATCCAATTACCACGGATACAGATTCTTATCCGCTTAAACCTGAAATGAGAAGCAGCTCGAGAAAGGAAAGAGCAAGTTGGGAAAAATACCATGGTGTCAGAAGAGCGAGTTAAATGCAGGGAACTCTTCCAACAGCATCAAAATAGAAATGCTCGTCACAGTGGGCCAGTGCAGTCACCACATTACAGCAGGGTTACAAGGTCTGATGCAGAGCAGGGGATGAAAGTTACCAGAGGGCTCACGAGCGGACTCAGAAGGGGCTTTCCTCTGCTTCCCACATATTGAGGCTAACTGCATCACTGTGCAAGACCCTGCACCGCAGGGCCCACTGACACCAGCTCCCTGCAAAGCTGCCAGCAGCCCAGAGCTGTGCAAGCCTGCTGAAAAACACTGCAAAACTGAACAGGGATGGCGGAAGTCTGGAGCTGAGTGCTTCCGGTGTTTGCTTTGGCAAAGCAATGCTCTGCAGCATGGAGAAGGGCTGTCACCTGTGAGTGCTGGCATGTGTGCTCCAGTATGAGTTGGGGACAACTGCTCTCTCTTTCCTGCTCCGAGCTAGGGCCTGGGTAAACACTCTGCTATTGCCCATCCATAAAGAGGCACAAAATTTGGGGCCTTATTTTATTGATTTATTGCAACAGACCACCAAGCAATTCTTAGCTCAGCTTAAATCCCCTGGGCAACCAGTGTTACCTTGTTTGTAGATCTAATTAAATTATATGAGCTGAATGCAATTTGTTCTGGGTTCTCTCAGCTTCCCCTTCCAATAAACTGTTGAATGCACACCTCTGTGTATGGGAAATGTGTACCTTTAAGAGCTGAAGTTATTTAACAGCTCAGACTATTAGTTCACAGGCAGAAAAGTATTTTCTTTCCAGGGTCTGATTTTACTGGGCCGCCCTGCGTGTACCTGAGCTCAGCCATGCTGCTGGCACGCACACACACACACACACAGACAGCACGAGGAAGATGCGAGCCAGCCAGCTCTGGGTGTGTTCCACAGATGTTACGTGTTGCCTGGATAGAAGGGAAAGAACAGTGTAAGGCTGAAGCCAAGAGAAAGTGAAGAGGAAATCTGGACCTGACACAGCTGTGAGCATGCATGTCTGTGTGTGCATACAGAACGCCGTGGTGTCAGCACGATGGCATGTCTATCCAAAACCCACCAGACACCTATTGCTTACTGTCAGCCAGGGGAAACACAAGTTTCTGCTCTGCATATGTGGCCACCACTTACACAGGCCCACTCAATTCCAGCAACGAGGAGCACAGAATGACCCAGCTGAGACGGCAAGGAGATTTCTGACATCAGCCTGACCTAGCATGAGTCATTTGACCTCCTTATGCCTCGGTCCATCTGGCTGGAAATTAGGTAGAAATACATGATCAGATGCTATACATGAGCCAGGCGTTTCTAAGTCAGCTATTTAGCAAGAAGCAAATGCTACCTCATGCTGTCGGTGCTGGCAGAAGGCACAGCTGAACAGTCACATAGAGCAGAGCACTGGACCCTGACTGCAACACCCAGTGGGAGGCAGAGCAGTGTTACATCCTGTGCCAACCCCAACTCACAGCAGCTCTGCCATAGCCTCAGGATCCAGTCCCTAGAAAACAGCCTTGGTTATGTGACAGCACCCTGCAGAACAGCAACTTCTGCGCTGCAGCTGTGGATGTCAGGCAGTCCTTCATGTAGACACGGATACTAGAGGTGGCATCTTCGCCATTCCTCTCTCCACAATCTTTGATGAGGATTGCCAAGAGCATTCCCTAATTGCTCCCCTTCTAAGTGGACAATCATTAAACCACACTAACAAGAAGAAATTAACCAAACAACGGCACACGGCTCACACTAAGGAGCATCACTGAACACGACTATCCAATGAATGCGTTCAGTTTGCTTCTCCTGCCATCTGAAAGGCTTTCTGCAGAGACAGCACTGACTGATGGCTTCTGTGCCTTTTCCAAGGAACATACGTTACTGAGCAAATACTGCCTGGAAACTTCAGCATTCAACCTACACAAATCTGCACACACACACACTGAAACGCGTGTGTCCTATTATAGATGCTTACATGCATATTTGCCATCAGAGAGATCTGAGCATCACACGCATACACATACACAGACCAAACTTGAAAACCTTCTTGCAGGCATCTTGTGAATACCAAAAAATGTGGAAAGAAACAGGCAGCTCTACTGCAATCCCCAAAGGACCATCTGTTAGCGGAAATGTCAATCTGCCATGTTTACATAGGTTTTGATGACTCTGGGAACAGCCTGTTCGGCTCTGGCTGAAATTGGCTGCAATGAAGAACAAACTTGTTTTGTACCACTTTGCAACTTTCAACAAACAGAAAAAAACCATCAGCCACACAACATGGCCTATATCCCACATGTTGTTCATGCACACTGTGTTTGAGGGGGGAAAAAAACAACAAGCTCTCTCTGGGCTATGTCTGTAAGGCTGGGTAGCTGCAGTTAACTCCAGGTCTGCTTTCACCATGGACCTGAAGAAGGTCTTGTGTGCCCAAACATTTCTGCTTTTTAAGTTTTTGGCATAAAAAAATGATACTTTTTATTTCTACACAAGCACAATGATGAATTGCTGAAGGAAGACAAGGAAATGGTCTCTTGGTTTTTACAGCAGAAGAATGAAAGCAAGGAGTGTCAGTCTAATACCATTTTGAAGAGGGAAAAATCCCCTTTTCAGTTCACTGCAAAGACGAAAATGGAAACTAAGAAAAACATCTTCCAATAAAAGGTGCTTCCATTACAGCTAAATCCTTATCAAAGCAAACAAGCCTCTTCATTTTAGCCTTTTTATAGAAACTCCAACCAGTAAAAATGTGCTGAGATCATATTACCTTCGCAGCGACAAGGAATGATTTCATGCAAATATATGAGCTGAGAATGAACACGTAGGAAATGTTGACATTGAAACCCTCTCTGTTTCACATGGACAGTTACTCAGAGTAGCTTGAAATCCTACACAGAACCAGGCTGGAGTTTGGCTCCGTTCAACAAAAACCTCAAGTATTCCATGGAAAGCAGATGCTTCTTAACACTCTCCCCCACCCCCAAATCACTTGGCCCACAAGTAGCAGTGACAGGGATGTCTGGAGCAGAGCCGTTTTATCATCCTCAGTCCATCTGTCAGGGAAGCAGAGCCGCAGCACCACAGTCTGCACGGTACGGCACCATTTATAAGGTGGGCTACTGGGGGCAGCAGGCTGGGCTCACTGCACAGGGGGAGACATTCAAAGAGGAAAATCACACAAGGACTTGCACACGCACCAACAAGTGTTTCCACTGGGAAATGCAGAGAGAGGAAGGAAAAGGGCCTGCTCAATGGCTGAATGCAGGCCTGCCTAATGAGCTGCAGCCATCAGAGGGTCCGGTGCCAACACATCGGTCGCAGCAGGAGCGTGCTGTATGAGGGGGACACGTCACCATCCAGGGTGGGAGCAGAGCTCAAACCCACACCGTGCCCTTCCACTCACACCATCCCACTCCCCCAGCAGTACTGACAGCGGCTCAGGAGGACTCAAAGCTTGCATGTGAAGAACCCGGTGATCCAAACCTTCAGAACACCCAATGGCTCTTCTCAAAGCCCTTGCCTATGACTCTTTGCAGGAGCCTGCTCAGTCCTGGTGTCATTAAAGGCTTCCTGCCCTCACTCTCTGTTCTCCATCCCTGCAAAACAGCATTCATTTGCTTCTGACTGCTTATGATACAGGAATAGTCCCTTCGTAGTGTCTGCACATCTCCTAACAACATGGAGCTTCCAATCTCCACTGAAGCCTGAGGCTGCAACAAGAACAAGACCAATGGAGAATAATCTGTGAAATGCTAAGTAATGCACCAGCATGGGAAAAGTCTGCAAGCACAGGAGCAGCAATGGCTGCCACTAACAGCAAGTGCTACGCAGCCAACACAAAGCATGTTTCAGGAGAGATTCTCAGGGCAGAGGGCCCAGCAGGCAATTGGAGAAGGTCACACATCCTCAGTTGCCAGCTCGTTGGCACTGCAGCTCTATGAACCTGCCCCACAGCAGCAGCGTCAGACTGCGAGGCTGTCTCAGCCAAAGTCCTGAGTTCTGCAGTGATGTGATACGATGCAGTCCAAGAACTCCTTTCGATGAGGACTTTCCTTCTTGCAGCTCTACCACATCCTTTGCCTTCAGTTTTCAAAACCTCAACCACACGCGGCACACGAGCACAAAAGAAATGGCAACCGAAGTGTGAAGATGGCTTCAACCTCAGACTTCTCAGCTTTGAATATGCAGACTGAAGGAGGAGATTGGCTCAGGGGGCACCTCCTGCAGGAAGGGGCAGTGGGGCCTGCTGTGTGGAAGCACATCTCCCTCCAGTGCCCACTGCCAGCAACAGCAGCCTGTTGCTCCCGGCTGGCAGCCAGCTCTGTCACCTGCCAGGTCATCCTCACTGGGCAGCACGGGTGACAGCACTGCTCTTCGGGTGGCTGCTCCTCGGTGATCCTTGATTCTCTGTCCACATCCATCAAAAGCCAGGCCCTCTGTTCTGTTAGCAAATCTCCCTGGCAAATTTAACTCCTAGTTGCCTTTCCCCATCCAATTAGGGAGGCAGAGAAACTGCAGCTGTAATTGCCCCCTCCCTGAAGCGCTCATCTCTGAACATCACCTGACTGCTACCAACTTCCAGCCTCCGTGACAGAACCCAGGGCCCTGAGCTCACAGCCTATGCCCTGAATGGCTGGACCTTGGCACTGCCCTTTCCAGCCTCTGCTTTGTAGGCACAAAAACCTTTCAGCAGAGCTTTGTGAATAGGATCCTTTTGCAAAAGAGAGACCTGGATACACCGCCCCTAAAAAGGCCTCTCAGAGGAGGGGATTTCCCTCCACTAGACCTGTTTTCTGGGTAAGTCACCATCATTGAAAACATTTGTTCCTTATTTAACTGAAAGATCTGTAGGAAATTCCTCACACGCTTCGGCCTGGGTCCAGAATGGGAGCTGCATTCCACTGACATCCATGGATGCAGTTTGGCTGCAAACTGTCTCCTTCAGCTGAGTACTGATCCAACACAACACCTGGGGATGGTCACGAGCATGGCTTCAGTGCACAGGACTATTAACAGCAGCTGGAAATTTCTCATTTCTAAAAGGCCATAGCTGCTTCACTGCTAGCAACAAGCACAGGTTCGCCAGGTATCCTCCTGTGACATGCAGGCATATCGTCAATGCAAACATGAAATCCCGTGTGTTCACAATGCATTTGTTTTACTGAACCTCCTAATTACTTTACATGCTCTCCCTGGGTTACAAAGAGAGACATAAACAGATTAACTAAATTAGGCCAATTAAAGGTTCCCTAATGGAATGAAATGTTTCAGACAAGCTTGAGAGAGGAAATGGGCAGGGAGGAGTGAAAGACAACACAATGTCAGGCAAACCAAGTACGGCAGGAAAAGACTTCTTCAAAATAAAGCGTTCACAAAAATAAAAGGGTTTTACTTCTTGTACGCCTTCAAGGGTATGCCAGTAAACACAGTGCACGTGGTCAAAGCACCTCTCACCCTAATTGCAACAGTATCTACCAGCACTTTGCAGAGCTAAGACAGAATCAGATCTGGACTTCCCAGCAGCAGAACACCAAAGGGAGGCTCCCCCCTAGGGAGGAATCATTACCTTCCTCTTCCCATGGACAGCGTCTTCAGGGAGGCTCGTGTGGATGAGGCTGTGCACTTCTGTCAGTTCTGTGATGTCTCCCAGGGGCACAGGTGCATCCTCTGGCAGTGGGGACATGAGGGACTCCAGCTCATGTGTGTCCGAGGTAGCACAGGGAGCAGCCACCCCTTGCCTGCCCCGATGGTAATAAGTATGGTTGCCAGTTGCTTGGGAATCCAGGCCTGGCAGAGCCTCCCTGAGGAAAAACAAGCAGGAGCTGACATCTCCAATTATCCTCACATTTCCTCTGCCCCAAACAGTCACAAGACTACCAGACACAGCAGTCGAGCCCAGTCCGCTCAGCCTGCCCCTGCAGAAGCAACCAGACCCAAGCCCCAGCCCTGACACTCTGAAGAAGTTGCTCACTCCTAGTCCTAGCATCCCTTACCAGCCTAAAGCCCTTCTCAAGAACTAAGCTGGTTTCCTACCATGGTCTTTCCAAAAGTTTATGGCTGCATTCAGACTGCTGGAATAGCAGGAGGCTTTAGGCTGAGTCCAATCCTACTGAAACCAATCTGTCTGTCACTGGAAATCTTTCAACATCTTCCCAAGAGAATGCTAATGTATCCTTTTCAAACATCCTTAGAGTTGCCCAACCTCAGAAACAAAACCTGCCCGAGCACACAGGCAATAATTTGGCAAATAGTGCTTTTTCTCTTTTCTTGATATTTTTTCCACTGCAAAAATCTATTACTCTAACAATAGAAAATACTGAGAAAATAAATCAGTGAGATTACACTAAGTATGCTCCTTAGCTATCTAGTCCTATGACTCAGTCTTTACATTAACTGCTGTCATTCACTGCATCCCAAACAGCCCATCTGAACAGAGGGAAGCTCACAGCACATTTTGTCTCCTTTATCCCCTGGGATCTGAGTGACACCTACCTCTGCTTGCTGTTGCGGAAGCTGGCACACATGCAGAAGAGTATGCAGAGCAGCCCCAGGCAGACTCCCACAATGATTCCCGTGACAGAGTGGATATCCAGGACATCTAGCAGGGGAAAGACAGATGATACATCATTTCAGCTCTTAGTAGAAAGAAGGCACAAAGTATCCTGTGTTCAGAGAAGCACCAGCTTCACTAAAACCAATGGATGATACTTCTATATGCACAAATGAAAAGAGTGTTGGCAGTGACAGTTTAGAACACCTAAAAGCAAACTGGCATCTATGCACATTCATTAATTTCATGCTACGCAGGCCTAATAAAGGCAGCGAGATGCAGATGGCATGTGATTTTCCACAGGGCAGAGATAGAGGAAAGAGATCAAGTTCTATTGTTGGATGGGTTCTGCAGCCACTTGGGGCCTACAGAGATGCACCTCTGAGGACTGCTGTGATCCTCTTCACTGACAATCACATCCCACATTCTGCAGTGGCACCAGGCAATTCACTGGCAAAAAGAGGAATGCTACTGCTAACAAACAGTGATTTCCAGCTGTGCAACTCGTGTCCTGCTCTGGAACAAAGGGGAAATTCATACCAGACAGCTTCTCCCGGAGGGTGTGCACATCCTTCACGTTTGAGTAGGGACCAGATCCCACGACCGTCTTTGCTCCCATCTTGAAGAAGTATCTGGTATCACTTTCCAGGCCATGCACCTCAGTGCTGAAGATATTTCCTGACCAAAAACCGAGCCAAAAAAGGATCACAATGTGCAGTTTCAAGCATATTCATACGGTGGTGGCAAAGCAGCAGCGGAACTCTGGTATTTAGTTACGTGTTTGTGTGCCAGTACCTCAGGATGGCTCACCTTCTCGTGTCAGCAAGGTCCACATTTCATCAGGCTGCGTGTTGTTGGCGTTGTACAGGATGAGGTACTCCACGATGATGCCGTTGGGCTCAGCAGGGGGACACCAGTGCACCTGGACTGCATAGGGGTTGAGGGGGTGCAGCCGCAGGTCAGATGGAGGGGTCGAGGGACCTGGTAGATGCAAGCAGAGACCCAGCATGAACAGTAGAAATGAGGAGCAGAGCATTTGAATGTTCTGTGTTTACTGTGAATTCTTTTCAGTAGTGCCACAGTTATCTTTGATTGCACAAAATGAGGTGTGACCCAGGTGAGCAGGCATCTCATCCCAACAAGCTGCAGAGAGTGCGGAGGGAAGGCTTCTGAGCCCAGCACAGGGCAGGACTTGTGGCCAAGCACTGTAGCCAAACACCCAAGGGAAACATGACAGTGCTGATACTGCTCAGTTTGAGGTTGTGCAGTGCTGATCATCTTTAGGACAATGAGAACACACACCCCCTCCTTTCTTTCATCTGCATCTCCCCTAAAGCTCTATCTGTACTTCAACAGAAATCCAGGAAAGGGAAGGATTCAATTTCCATCAATACTCACGGTCAGGAAGGGTGAATCGCTCCACCACGCTGCCAAAGGGCCCATCAATACCAACACCATTGGACTGCACAGCAAACTCATATCTGGTATAGGGCTTCAACCCACTAATGAGAATGTCTTCATCCGAGCTGCCAAAAAAGGAGGCATTCACGAGACCATGAGTATCAGATGGCACAAAGGGCCACCTCAGTACCTTTACCAAATGAATGGATAAATCCCCACTGTGGAAGTTCCACTGCCACATTTCAGCAGCTCTGACTGTGTCTATGACAAAGCAGACATTTCCAGCATTTCAAACACCTGAGATTTTGCTCAGCACTGTGACTTCCCTGCAGATTCCTCCTTCCTTGTGTTTATTCCTGATATGAGTAATACATGGCAGATGAATCCTTAGCATCCCCCTTACCTTGTGTAGTACGTAACAAGGGAGGCATTCTTCAGGCCCCAAGGGCTGAAGCGCACGGTGTAGTTGACAATCTTGACAGTGGTGAAGTCAGGTTTCTTCCATCTGAGCCATATAGAAGTTGAGCTGTTGGACTCTGCATAGACTTGGACTGGAGGCAGTGGAGGACCCTTCTGCACAGGGGGATCTATAGTGGTGCAAGATGTAAAGAGAAAAGAGATGTGGGAATGTAAATGACAGTGAGGGAAGGGACACGGACACAAAACAGGGGAAAAAATATACCAAGGTTGTGAAGCCTGCAAAAAAGGTGCCTCCAGCATTACCATGCTTAACCTGTGTACGCAGCCCATCCATGCTTTTCTTTATGTGTGAAAAAAATCCCACTGAGGATCCACACGCCTTAATGGCACTGTACTATTGTGGTACACAGGAGGTCAGCCTCAAGGGCACCCACTCAACAGACCCACGTCAGATAAGGAGGAGCACAGGCTCTTTGAACACCCCACAACAGACTGGCAGAGCTACAAATGGAGTCTGGGTCCTCAGAGCTTTTAATTTCTATGTAATGATGTGAGAAAAGTGGTATCCTGCTTACTCATGTTCTTTAATGTTTACAGGCATACCTGGCATTTCCATGACCAGCCCTGAGCCATTAACAGGGCCAGAGAGAAGACCACGAAGGCTATTCAACTCTGCACAAGAACGACCCTAATGAGAAAGGGGTAATTTGCTCTTTTCTCTCCTTCTCAGGATAACTCCTCCAATGCAGTTGCAGTGACTGTCCAAGGGAGTTCCCTTATGTAGGTCTTCTCGTGTTTTGCTAATGTCCCTCCTGAAGTCCTTCTGTAACTCTACCTTGCTTTTGAAGCCACATGCCAAACAGAAGAGACAGACAACAAACAGAGGGCATTCCTCACCTACTGCTGTTGCAGGCGCCTTTTCTGTTTTGCCCTTCCAAACTGCTGCATAACCATCTTCGTGCTTATTGAACGCCACCAGCTTCACCTCATAGAGCTTCCCAGGAGCTAGAAAAAAAAATCAGTCAGGGTTTAACCAGGGTTATGTTTGTAAGCAGCTCTCCTCATTTAGACATGTTTTCTTAAATCTGACTCAAGAAAGCAGCTCTGATGGAGCTGAATTTGCTAAAACAAATCAGGACACATTTCCCCTTAGAGGATTTTTGCACTCAAATACTGTCTCACAACTGGAGCATGTATTATCACAGCCACTCCCAAGCTCTCCACTCCCTTTTCACAGAAGTGATCGGCAGCAAATTGACTTTCTGCAGCCACCAAGGGGGCTAACCAGTGTCACAGTCTGTAGCACATCATCTCAGGACCTCCTGATTTTTCTCCCCTTTAAGCTAACAAAATCCCCATGGGAGTGGATGTGCTGTATTGTTTATTCTTGGAGTAAGAACATCCTTTTGTCTCTTCAAAACGCACCTCTTGTTTCTACAATCCTGATTTACTCACTGCTGGGAGGAACTTGCTCTCTGGAAGTCCTTAAGCTGCCCATCACCGAAGTCACTTTGCCGTGCCAAGCAACATCAAAGGGTTTTTTTTCACGGAGACGTTCAGTTGAGAAAACAGACTGGGACATCCAAAATTCTCAAATGACACTCAGCAGCTCCTCCCTTCAGCCCATCAAGGAGCTCAGGAAGAGCACTCTGGACTATCTTTAGCTGAAGTGTGTTAATGAAGTTTGTTAATTTGGGATGTGCCTGTTCGTTCCCTGCCCTGATGGATCTCTGCTCCCTTTGCCAGACAACATACGCAGAACAAACCCCTTCTTATTAATGCCAATTTTATTATTACTGCACTCATTATGCTCCCAGAGGCTAATGGTACCAATTACCAAAGGCTCTCACTGCTCCACAACACATGTTCATGCTCAGAATATAAAAACAGTTCAGCCACATTTTTCTCCCTGAAAGAATCTCAAAAGCAAACAGAGTTCTGTCTGCCTCCAAAGATATCTGATCTGCATTTCAAACTCACAAGAAAACACTTCAAACCCACACAAGGAGGAAAAGGCCAAAAGGGAGTTGCCTTTTAAACAGTTGGGACCATAGACTTGATGGAACCAAGAACCCATCTCCTGCCAGCTTGAGCATTTGGCTGGGCTTCACTGGGACACGAGCTCATCACAGATGATGAGATCCAACATGAAGAGGAAGAGCACGCAGATGTGATACAGCTGTGGGCAGCTCCTAGCAGAGAATGAAGTGAAGGGAAGGAGAAGTCCTGTCTCCATCCTCATGTAGGATCAATACAGCAGACACTTACACACGAAGCCAGAGCAGCTCTGCTACATGATCAAGCACTTCATATTCTGCAAACGGGTATTTTGGGCTTCTCAGTCAGAGGTTTGGCTTCAATTTTTATACACAGGCCCAGATGTTCAAGCTCTTAGAACTGGCAGACATAAAGCTCTATCAAGCTGTCAAGAAGCTAGTAGGCAGCATGAAAACAGATGTATTTCACTACATTCCATCATACATTAAATATAAGCAGAATAATCTAGTCCAGATCATTTCAAGTCACTAATCTAGATGACTGTGTAATACATTCAATATGCTAAATATGTTGTTTCATTCAATTTTTCAAGGTGTTCATGTAGGCCAGATGCCATACCTTCCCCTGAATGGGAAAACACCCAGATCTCCGGGGAGTCACTTGCAGAGGAATGCACTCTTCCTTCACAGGAACGTGGAAGACAGGATCAGATGCTTATTGTTTATTTTTCAGTCAGTGACAGCTCTGGTCGTAACACACCATTACAAAGACTAATTGTAGAACACAGAAATTGGTGAGAACTTCTCAGCAGTAAGTTACCCCAGCAATCCAGGACAACTTCCTTTGGGTTTCAGGGGATCATGAAATTGCTGTGTTTCTTCTGTAACTTTGAACAGCTGCCCACCTCTCTGACAGGATTTCAGCATATCTCCCCAGAGGAGATACAAAGAGAGACCTTAGTGATATCACTCCAAGGAGATACGGTTTCCTTCAGAGTTTAACAAGAGCACAGGAGAAAATATCTTCCATTGTTTCAGACAGCTCAAATAGAGAGAGCTGGGACATAACCAAAATCAAGAAGACAAATACTGGGGGTAAGAAGGATGAGGAAAAGGAAGCCTGCAAGACAGAGAAGAGGTGGTGGAGACAACTGGAGCCCATTTATTGGCAAGACCAATTGGAGAGAGAGTGAAACAAGCTCTTGTCTCAACCTGCAGTTTCAGCCACCACGCTTCTTCAGCAGCCCATCCCCTGAGGGCCACCTGGGCAAACCTCCCTCCACCAGACAGCACCATCAGCAACTTGCACTGATAGCAAGAGATATAATGTTGCTTTCCTTTCCATTGCTGTGGTTCCCACATGGACAACCTTGTGCTGGAAGCCCCTCTGGCTGATTCCCATCAGCCACATGCAACAGTGTAAACTGTGTCAAGTCTGCCAGTCTGCCCTGAGACTGGTACCAGCTCTGCCTGCAGGACCCCCAAAGCAGATATAACCACCTGCCCTGGGGAGCTCTGAGCCTAAACCCTTCCAAATCCCAACCACTACTCCTCCCTGCTCCATGCTCAGTCCTCTGTCTTTCACAGCACAGCCAGATTCTGACCCCCTTCTGTACTGTACACATGCAGGAGGACATCATTCAGCAGCTCAGGGGTAGAAAAGAGAACGTCCATGCTGGAAGAAACTCAAGACTTTCTTCCTGATACAATGATAGCTGATACACAACAGCCAAATCATAAGGAAGCCATTAGGCCTTGACGGATGCCCAATTTAAGGAAGTAATTACAGAAGAACAAGCAGCCTTCTAGCATTGCCATGCCAGAGCATTTGGAACCAATTGAGCCCACTCCCGAGTCCCTCTGCTCACTGATTTGCCAGTGGTTAGAGCAGCACGTGAGGATGTTCACATGTGGTTTCCTCAGTGCAATAATTACAGACCTAAATTCTTCAGAGAAACTCGTAACTGTTAACACTCTCTGTGGCAGGATGGCTGCTGCACTGGAGTGCTGGAAACTTGCTCAGTGATGACACAAGCTGTTCTTCCAGGTGCTGCAGGCTGACCTTTACACCACGCATCATACATATGCTAGACACTTCTCAGTTTCAGCAGCAGGCACAGATGAAGCATGAAGTGGGTGATGGAAGAACTCTTAAGAAGCGGAAAACTGCTTTAAGGACTCATCTGCCATGATTCTTTTCATTCTCCATCCTGTATCGATCAGCAAGTCAATTAATTAGTACAATCAGATGTTAAAACGTAATGTCTTATGGGAAAAAAAACAAAGGCAGTCAGCCCAGCAGGTATACCTGACTGCAATGCAGGCTTGTTCTCCACTCACAGACACTCTGCTATCTCTTTTCCTTTAGGGGAGGTGGAGGAGAATACTGACCCAAAATTAGTATGCTGTGAATTAACCCTTATCTGCATTTTAGCATAGAAACATTTCAAAAAATATGCAATTGTGAAGTTTCTTAGAACTAGATAGCCAAGGAGAGATCACTGCCCTGACTGGTGATCTTAATCCAAGCACTCTCATATTGACATAGCAATGAACAGTAATTGATTCATATCCTTTCATCAGTATATACTATGCATTGGTGTAGTCCTTACTTAAAAATACTATCTGGTTTCATCCGTTTCTTACTTCTCAGAATATGTCCCAAAAAGCCCAGACCACAAAGTACTTTGAGTGCTCTTAGAAACAAATTCAGGAAGGGTGCTCATATGGTCATGGACCTACACAGCTGTAGGCGAGGAGAGAATCCTGGGACTGCTATCAAGTGTGAAAGTCAGACCCTGGGTTTCCATACCTATGCTGGGGTGCAACCAGCTCACCTAGTCGAGTCAGTTCATACTGCTTCACTTTCTTCTTTAGCTTTATAGGTCCTACGTCCCAGCTCTCATCTTCAGCGCCATCCAGAGGGCTTTCATCACTGGACTCCTCCTGGCCCACCTCCCGGTAGTAGAGTTTGTAGCCTGATATCTGGGCATGGTTGGCTGGGGGTTGCCAAGTGATCAGGAGAGACTCCATCTTCGCTCGGACTTTTAATTCTGCTGGTGCAAATGGAACTGGAAGAACAAGAAAAAAAATGTTCAGTCACTTATCTCCATTACCAACTACACACAGGAGGAAAGACCCACTACCCAAGACATACAGGGGCTGCTCAACAGAAAGTCAGAGGCAGGCGTTCTGCTCTAATCAAAACCAATAGTTGGAATTCCCTAATGAACACAAGCATTTCTGGTTATGCCTCAAGTTCCCAATCTGAGAAATAACACCCTGCACCCCGCATCCCCAACCCCAAGCAACAGCCAGCCTCCTACCACGTGTCTGGTTGTCCCTGTCAGGTGTCCGATGCTGGGTCCACTCAGACGGGGCCCCATAGCCCACGCTGGTGCTGGCTGCAATGCGCACTTTGTACACCTTGTTGGGATGCAGCGAGTACAGAGTGATTTGTGTCTCATTTCCACCCACTTCAATGGAGTTAACCTGATCTGCTGGAACCAAGGTGACACCAGTGAAAAAGGGCTTTCCCAGTCAAAGTGTAGAAACAAACCCAGCAACAATCACATGGTCTACATGCACTCTTTGCCACCAGGAAAATTGAGAACTGAAGACTGGGCAGAGCTGATATCCTGACTCCTTCATCACATTCAGAACCACAGAGTGCCTTCAGCACCACTGAGCCTGCCTGGGGGCAGTTGTCAGAAACCTTGCTGCTGCTGACACGAGAGAAGAATATGAGCACAAGCTGATGGGAACTGATGGCACTCACTGCTGTACTTAAAGCGTCACCTTAATTTGAAGAGGAACCATGCAGCAGCCTTGCTTCTGTAAAATTCACAACCTCACCAATGCTACATTGAGGTCTGACTGCTCCGTTTTCAGCTTACCCAAATTCATAAGGAACATAACAGGAAATTTAAACTGAGAGTGACCTGAGATTTCAGCTGTAACAACTAATGGGTCTTGCTAGGATTCATCCTGACTATTGGTGAATGCACAGCTCTTGCTTTTCAGCTGCACTGGACCTAAGATCAGCTGAGAGTGCTGTCCTGATATGTAGCAAGGTACTGCTAGGTGCAAATCCTGGACTGCAAATGTCTAAGGTCTTATGATCCCACAGAGGTGCATGCAGGCTCAAGGCAAAAAATAAAAATAAAAACAAAACAAAAACACAAGAGCCAGGAGTCACACTGCAGACTACTAATTCAGATCAAGCACACAGCAACATGTCCAGCACTTCATCACGTTCCTCATTGCCTTCTTAGACAGAAGCATAACCTTGGGAAGTGGAAGCTGCAGAGTTTTGATTATTTTAAAAGTGAACACCCAGAAAGCAAAGCAAGCACACATGGAATCAGAACAACTGCATTCAGAATACGGAAGTGTTACCATCCCTGCTGAAGGCTTCTTAGAGTGGCTGACAATATAAAACCAGATAAAACTTAGCAACAGAGCAACACAACCTTGCCAGGATACTTACATACAGATCATTGAGTAGACTTGGTTTTAAAGGAACCAAATGCATTGACCCTTCTTCCCCAGCCAGCATCAAGCTCTTCTCCCAAAATACAAAGCACACCAAAGAGCTGTTTATGCAAGCATTCATGGGGCAGCACAAACACACGCCATCCCCTGGGCACACTGGTTCCTCCACAACCACAGAAAAAAGCACCTCAGAGGAGTATGAAGTGCACAGTAGCAGCACTGTTATGACTATCACCAGCAGAGCCCAGATATAAGGGAGGGCTGTTCTGCTCCTGGCAAAAATGGGTCCCTCCGTTTTCAGTCTTATACCTCTTCCCCTCAGCAAGCCATGTTGTTGAAGCTGCTGGAGCAAAAGACAACCTTCTTCCCTTCAAACACACTTTTTTCCTTACCTTCCTTGATAGTGCAGTAGTCAATCTTGTACTTCGTTATCTTGCCATTACTCAGCTCCGGAGGAAGAGGTAACCACGTCACACGGATGTCACCAGGAGTCATGCTTGACAGGGACAGCTGAGGAGCAGCACTAGGAACTGAGAAAATGCAAAAGAAAGTCAGCAAAGGTGGTGGCAAGACCTTGACACATCTCAGTTGGCTGGAGGCCACTACCTGGCACAGCTGCTGGTGACAAGCTGTCATGGGGTGTATCCAACATGCTACAGATCCCCAACAGCTCGGAGAACCAGAAGGAGCTTTCTGAGGAGGAGGGAAGGTGAGCTGCTCAGCTTCAACAGGCTGCTCAGTGCCTGCTGGCCACACCACACTGTGTTGCCACATCTAGGTGACCCTGCGTTAACTACAAACCAGGCAGGTTAACAGGCTGGTTAATCTGCCTGTGCGGTACCATGGAGCATCAAAGAGACACTAACTGACACTAAAGATACCAGACTTCTGCTTGGTGATCCCCCTCTCCTGTAGAATCACAGCTCTGTGCTGTAGGCAGCTTTCATGCTTTCAACTCAGCTTTTCAAGCTTCAGACACAAAGGTGTGAGACCATGCAGTGCTCTACGTCAGGAGCATTAAAGCACACAATGCACCCCACAGCATAGCAGGGGCTTGCATGAGGTCTGCCAAAAACATTGCTTCTGTCTCTGTCCTGCAGTCTGTTGTGAGCTGTACATGTTCTCTGTTGGGCAGCAGTCCTTCTGGCACTCTGCCTTCACTGCTCAAAGAAATGCTATGTGATAAGTGGCAAAATCAACACAAACTGACTCTTAAGGGATCCTACTTCAAGCCTGTTCCCAGCTCTACAAATTGTGATAGACATCTTTCTTCTGAGTTGAAATCATGTCTGGCCTAGCAGCAAGTTTGCAGCAATGCTACATTACGTCAGTGAAAGTCCAGAGGACCTGAATGCAACAAGTCCCATTGTCAGCAAAGTCACTTTCATGCTCACCATCACCCAAGCCAATGATCAGATCAGGGTGGGTTTCTTTACTTCTACAACGGATTTACAACAAAAAGCTACAGGACATAGGTGTAGGCTTCCAGGAGTTGATACTATTCTCTACATCATCTTCAACACTCACCAGGAAACAGGAAAGAATATCTTTTAGACACTAGTACCCATCTAATTCAACGCACCGTCCTCCAAGGTCTGAACAACTATGGAAGAGGATGTCCGGCTGGCTCCAAGCTGAGAATACGCGACCACATAGAAGACATAGTTGGTGTTGGGTTCCAGGTCCTTGACTTGCAGCTCGGTGGTATCATTATTGACAGCAAACTGGTACTCCACGTTATCTGTTCCTGGAGTCAAGGAAACACCAATCAGCAGGTCAGTGAACAGCCAGGACACCGCAAGGTGCCAGGAGTTGGAAGCAGAGACTTTCTAGCTTTACTTAGTTTCTACAGTAACAGAACCTAGTTCCCAGAAAAAGAGTCTAGCTGCCGCTGCAACTGCTTCCAGAAAGGGGAGAAAACACAACTTAGGAGATAGTTTGGGTAGTTTCCAAAGCATCTGGATGCACTAAAGCTCTTCCAGCCCTGTTGGAAGAGAAATGGGAGTATGGGAGTAGATGGAAGAGGTGTTGCAATCACCCGGCTACAGCAGCTTGAACTACCCAAACTAACACATCCAGTTCTTTACTTTAAGCACAGTCACAGAATCACAGAATTGTAGGGGTTGGAAGGGACCTCCAGAGATCGAGTCCAAACCCCCTAACAAAGCAGGTTCCCTACACCAGGTAACGATCCAGGGGAATTCCTGCCATTATAAAAGGCCCAGTACTAAGGTGGGTCTCCTGTTGGTTTTGGAAGGATCTTCTGTGCCCAGAACCAGGGACACAGACCTTCATCCTTTATCACCACATCCCCGCTGCCACTGCCTGGTTGCACAGGCAGGTAACACCTACCCACAGCCCGCTGGTAATGTAACGAGAAGCCAATGATCTGCTCGCTGTTGTACTCTGGCCGCTCCCAGGACACTAAGACTGTGGTGCTGGAGAGGGACACGGCTGAGACCTTCTTGGGAGCGCTGGGCAAACCCTCCCGCACGATCACGGAGAGCTTGGCAGTGGCGCACGCCATGCCCAGGCTGTTCTCAGCCACGCACTGGTAGTAGCCAGCATCCTCCAGCCCGATCTGATTGATCACCAAGCTGCCGCTGCTCTGGACCTTCACTCGCCCATTGGAGAGGATGGCCTCGCCGTTCTTCAGCCAGTGAATGGTGGGGGCTGGCTCGCCCTCCGCCTTGCAGACGAATCGAGCCGTGCTGGCTCGGGTGCGCGAGATGGTTTCAGGAGCCTGGGAGATGCTGGGCGTAGCTGGGAGGAGAGAGGACAAATTAATGCAGTAAGGAGGAGGGAAAGATAGCAGAGAAAATCCCTTCTCCTCCCCCCTCACTGCTATGTTTTATTCAGTAGCAGCTTTGCTTACAAGATAGGATTTGCCAGGCAGACTCTAGAGGCTTAATTTAGATTCTATCCAAAAGGAAAAATAAATTCCGTATCAATCATGCACTGCATTCCCTGATCCTAGGCTGTTCTCCCTCCTGAATTCCACAATACTGAAAGTTAATTGCTGATCCAGATTTCCACACGGAAACCCTGGAGAACAGGAATAAGGCATAAAACGGTTCAGTAAATAGGAGGAACTAAACCGCAAATTAAAAAGGTTACATTCACCCCAAGAGCTATCCCAGCACAGGGCCTTCTGACTCCAACCTGGCTCCCTTCTTCCCCAGCAGGGGTCACAAACACAACGCAAACTCCGGATGCCAGACCAGGTAATCCACAGCTACCTGGCAGCATTTCTCCCTGCAGCAGTTACTCTGCTCTCCACTCACCCAGGACCCGGAGCTCAGCCGCAGCTGTAACAAACTGCCTGGTCTGGGGTTTGTTAGCACGGCAAACATATACTCCAGAGTGATGGGGCTGGCTGGAAGGAATGAGGAGGTTTGTCCGACCCAGCACGATCACATCTGTGGAAACAGGCTTTCCATCTGCAGGAAGAAAGAAGCACAAATGCGGGAGGAAGTTCTAAGCAGAGACCCCAAATCCCAAACCCCAGCCCAAAGGAATGTTACTGCTGGAACATTCCTCCGCGCATGACTGAGCGTCGGCCAGCCCGAGTCAAAACTGCCTCAAGGTTTAGTTTAGCAATAATCAAAAAAGTCATGTTTCAAATCAAAATAGTCTATAGTGCAAAGACTGTGCCTGGAATGAGATCCTCCAGGAATAGCACATTTGAGGGAACGCTATGCTAGCATATTCTTTGGAAAAGCTGCTGGATCTCCTTGCTGACTCCCATGCACAAATGCACATCTCTCCTCACGTGTTAATGCAAATGTCAGAGAATATTGAACTGCTAATGACCTGGGGTTCTTCTACCTTCTGGGACCTGGAATTGAACTCAAATTTAGGCAAGACAGCTTGTGGAGAAGAAGGAAGTATCCCGAACCAAGGGCTGGAGTTGGGGCAAACATAGCATGGCCAAGGAGAGGCACAGCTGGGCAACTGGGAACCCAATGCCAGCTCTGGCAAGAGTTACTGAGTTGAGAGAGCCAGCCAATTTACACAGTATCTGCAAACATTACCTCTCGTCCCTCTCCAGCTGCAGATAAATGGGTGTCTCAAGCAGCAAAACCTACATCACTCCTCTGCCCTCAAAGACTCAGCTGAGTCAGAGCAGCTGTGCCTACTTAGCACCATCAGCAGGGAACAAAGCTGCGATCAGATTCTCTGCCCCCTCCATTTATTTCATGGAGCTTCAGGTGGTCTCACAGTTCAGTGGTTGCACTCTCACAGAAGGAGAGAATCAGCACACCCCACTAGCACAGGAGCAGTCTGAAAATCCAACCCCAGATGGTAGCAATTAGCTGACCCCACCAGGGCTGGCAACAGCCAAACTGACAACTTGGAGATAGAATCCTGTGTTACCTACATGACTAATCCTCCAGCAACCCAGCCTGCTCCTTACTGCTGTCTTCCTTGCATAGCACAAAACTGCTATTGCAATTAACCCATCCTTTCCAATCTGAAGAGTCTATGCTGGAAAGCAGAGGAGAGCAAGCAAACACTTGAAAATAGCGAGGAAGCACTTGAATGCATGCAAGGAACTGCTTCACCAGCCAGTTCAAGGAATCGTAGAATCCTTAGAGTTGGAAGGGACCTTTAAAGGTCATCTAGTCCAACTCCCCTGCAATGAACAGGGCCATGCACAGCGAAATCAGGTTGCGTAGGGCTTGATCCAGCAATTCCCTTCCCTTTTCTTTCCCTCAATTAAAAAAAAAATTTAAAAAATTAAAAAAATCATAGCAATAATTAGCTTTGATAATATCTACTCTGAGCATCAGCAGTATCCAGTATAGCAAAAAGTGATGAAGCATGGGAAAAATGGTAATTTCTAATTGTGAAGTGCACAGGATAAAGCAGAAACACTGCTGCCAGAACATGTAATCCTCACTGATTTGATTTCCCAACTTGTGTCCTGTGAGACTGTTTTTGCTCCTTTTTTGAAGGGAAGAGGAAATATTTGTGTACACTAAAAATCACTGCCTGTGGACAAGTCTGGGCTGAAGACCAACCACAATGAATGGTTACAGGGGAAAGGAGTCTTAAATCATGAGTCGGATTTGTGAAAATAACTGAGAGCCTTTTCTGGGAGAGAATCAATCCCTGAGCTGGAAAGGGCCTCAGTCAGAGCCTCTGAAGCATCGGACGATGTGACACTGCTGAAGTGACACTTGTGACTCGGGCTGTCAGCCCTGGGTAACCTATGCCAGTCTGGCTCATTTGTACACCTCTAATGAGAACTGAGCATCTTCTCAGCTTCCATTACGGTGGGGAAAACAAAACCAGAAAAAAACAAAAGCCAGTAATTTGAACACAATGGGACTTTAGAACAAAAACCTGCCAGCAACACTCCCAGCTCACAGCTACTCCAATGATTAACAGATCTTATCCTGTTTTATAATCCTGCAAGATAATACAAGTTCTTTCTCCAAGGCAGTGGCAGATTCCACAGAGTCCCCACTAAGCTCTGAGTCACCGGAGGAGTGGCACAGGCCCGACCCCACCTCACGACCTTTACTACTGCTCAAGCTCCTACACTGAGTATGACTAATTTAGATCCAAAGGCATCCAGACACCAAAACTTCGTAATATTTCACAGGCCAGGTGAATTGCGTGCTTTGTAACCTTCCAGATTTAATCAGTAATTCCAGTTATTGAAGACACCCTACACCATGACTCCACCTGCATCATTAGGCAGCAATGTAAAAGGCTCTCACCTTGTCCCACTGATCTGTCTGCCTTCTAACAAGTTTTGAAAATGAATGCCCGGGTTCCTCCTGCTGACAGAGGCTCCTTTCCATCCCTTGCACTCACCCTGCCGTATCCAGGAGACAAACGGGGTGGGATCAGCAGCTGCCATGCACTCCATCACCACGCTCTCCCCTGCCACCACCGTGGTGTTCTCCGGAGCAGCAATGATGGTGACATCTCCTCCTGCTGGCTGGGAACCTAATGCCAAAAACAAAAAGAAAAGGCTGTTCTTCACTGGAGAAGTGTGTAGAGATGCACAGCACACCAGACCCTGCCGTGCTCCCCTGTTGTCTCACATGTGCTCTCTCATGCCTAGCTGGAGGAGAAAAATAGGTCTTGTTTTTATGTGACAGCATTGTTTTCCTTAGGATACAAACACAGAGGTGTCCTAAAGATTTATTCTCGTCATATCAACACCAACAGAAGTTAGTTAGTATCAGGACTTTCTCATGGAAGATAAGAAGAGTTTCAGCCCAGAATGTTCATCAGCTCTTGCTAATTTGTTTGTTAATCAGATGGCACTCAGGGACATGGTTTAGCAGGCACGGTGTTGATGGGTTGATGGTTAAACTTGATCATCTTCGAGGTCTTTTCCAACCTCTAATTCTAAGACACCACTATTCTTCAAGCACAACTGCTCAGGACACAGCGTATCTTTTGCCAAGGCACTTTAAGAGTTCAGAAAGAATCTAACATCTTGGCTAAAGAAATTCTGATACGTGTGCTGTGAACTGCAACAAAGAGAGGCCAACACTCAGTGCCCAGGTTTTCACCTCAGGGCACAGAGACTGACTCAGTCACTCCGCACCCGGAGGAGAGCACGCTATTTAGCTGATAGGCACAAAGACAAATGGCCGGCACGTGAAATCATGCAACATTTACATGAAGATTTATAGGCTACATTGCACAACTTCTTGAGAAAGGGATAGGGTTTTTTTGCTCGAAATGAACCTTCTGTGTCTATCCACTATTAAGCAGAGGTTAAGGGAAGGTTAAGGAAATGCCTTTGCAGCAGCCAGATTTCTGTTGTCAGATTAAAACAATCAGAGCATGCTTGAGAAGACCAGACTGTTCATGACCCTCGACAGCAGCAAGGTTCTTTTTTCCCAGCTCTCCCAGAAACATTCAACTCTGAGGGACACTGTTGGTTGTTGTCCTCAGGAAGGGAGAAATAACTGCAGAGGAATCACATAGCATGAGGAATTCCTAAGCCTGCTCCAGGTGCTCCCAGGATTGAGCAGAGAAAGCTGTGGGCAGCAAGTCCAACACAGATCAAAGCAGCTTTTGGCACAGCCTGCAGTTAAGCCTACTGTCTCCCGATGCTGCAGGGTATAAAACAAAGAGGTTCAGGCAAACTCACAAAGGACACACTTAGCAGGATGGTTAAATCGAAGTGCTCACTGCAGTCCCCAGCCCAGGATGTCCCTACATCTCCAACTGCCAGACCCTGAGATATCCAAGGAAAGCACCATGCCCTCCTTGCCCTGTTTCTAATGTACTTGCCTTTTGTGGCTGCTGTGCCTGCACACTGCAGCACCCAACATGTTGTGCTCAGCACATCTCCAGCCTCGCTGCCATCTGCTCAGTGCACAAATCTTACCAAAGAGAGTTGGTATCACTGTGATTTTCTTTCAGCCCGTACAGACGTGAAAGGAAATTCCATCTGTAGTAGGATGAGTATTAGAAGCAGTAGGTAGAATTGCCAAGGCAGAGCAGGGAGAGCAGGAGCCTGTGCTTGACCAGCAGATGGAAGCAGAGACCGAGGAGTGCCCGCAGCCCCCCCAGCTGGGGCCATGGCTGGGCACACCGAGCTGCACCCCAGCCCTGTGCAAACACCAGCAAAAAGAACTGGCTGCACTGGCTAGGGCTTTGCTCTGTTCTATTACATTTGCTATGCGTATCACTCACACCTGCAGATGCTTTCAGCCTAACATCCATCACATCCAGTTGCAGCAGGACAACCTGGGGCAGGGTAGGGGCAAGAAGGGATTTACGTCAAAATGTGGTGGGTTCAGGGACCTCATCTCCACACAGGTCAGAGCCTTGGCCTCCTGCAGCACCAGTGCTGGGCTTGAGAACTACTGAGCCAGAAATGGGCTAAATGTAAACCAGGCCTGAGAGCTTCCGCAAGAGACACGAAAGCTGGAGGCTCAGAGAAATACAAGGTTCTCTAGAATGGCAGCTTTTGTTTAGCTTTAGTTCCAGTTCAGCCAAGCACTAAAATCCACAATCAGTCATCAGTTCTGTCTGCAGGAACAGGCCAAGGGCTCCCTGCTCCAACAGCACTAAGAGCAGCTGCAGCCACAGGGACCTGCAGCTCAACCATCCTGGTCTGAGGCAGCCAGGAGTCAGGTCTCAGCCTCAAAAACCCAGTGGAAAAACAGTTCAGATGCCAGGTGTTTGTCACTGATTGCTACTGAAGTCATATTACAAAAGTAAACAGTCCTGCTTGCTTTTCCAGCACATTCCTCAGTATGCACATGGATGAATGCCCCATGCACCTCTTGTACACAGGGGCAGCTCTTTCCAGCTCTGCATTTTGGAGTGCAATCCTGTAAGTCAAGATCCCCTTATACAGCATCCTTTAGAGAACATTTTTCTCTTGCTATCTCAACAGGCCAGCTGGATAGGATGGAGCTCAGGTTAACTGCTATGAACTGGGTTTGGTTTGGTTTGAAGACTTCCCAAGAAGAGTACTCAGCTAACCAGGAAAACCTCTGCTCAGTGCTGTCTGACAAACATCAAGAGCAAAACCAACTTCGGTTTTTGTCTCCACTGCCACTGAAATAATTTCAGGTCAAGAGGGAACATTGTTAGAACCAAAGGAAAAGGGAGCTGCAGTTTCCAAGACATCTTTCACTGCCTGAACAAAACAGGTCACTGAACACATCTGCACCATGCAGTCTGTTTCGGAGTACTAAAAGCTTCTGCAGTGCTGCTATTTTAAAACTTGGGGTTTGAGATTCCTCTCCCAGTTCCCAGCTTTGTTTTGTCCCTCCAAGCAGCAGGAGGCTCTAGGCAAAAGCTCTGCACAGCCCAAGGCACAAGCCCTGAATTCCTAGAAAAGCTCACCATCACTGCTGCCTTTGCAGACTTGTTGCTCTTCTGAATCAATTTTGCTGGATGAGCAGAGCTCTGGGCACTGGGAAACGCTGAGATGAAGGCGCTACTCCTGCACGTTTTGCCACCCTGTGCCCATGTTTGTGTCTGCACAGGGAGACACAAGGATGCCACTCAGCATTAAGGGACAAGACTTACTGACAATATGCAGAAATACTTCCAAGTGTCCCCTAGGTTTTCCTGTTCACGAGCGACTCAATGCAAGCTGATTTTCAGCATTTATGCATTTTCCCATCTTCCCATCACAAGTCAGCACAGTCAGGCTAAATTCAGGCACTCCACTCCTTCACACCATCACTCACACAACATGGAGTGTAGCGTCAGGTGCAGTGCAGAAATCAAATGGATGCAGCAAGGGGAGCACAGGAGGCTCTGAGCAAAACGCCCAGTATAAGAAACAGTTCTGTAGAGTCTCAAAGAGAAGAGAAAGTGAGCAGGGATGTGAAGGGAGGCACCATGGGGAGCTGCTCGGGACAAAGCACAAAATGTTTATTTGAAGTTTGAGCTTGAGTTATAAAATACAGCAGCAATCTGAAACTCTCAGAGCCTACAAGCCGGCTCTGCCTCCAGAGCATCCATAATTCATCAGCTCTTTTCTCCCACCTCTCCGCTCTTCTTAGCGCAGAGCATCCGCTAAGAATTCAGGCAGAGCAACAGGAGGAAAATGGTTTCTGTTCAGCCAATTTGTGATGGTTGTTTGCAGTGACAAGAAGATGATTCTGGTCGGGAACTAACAGATCTTCTCCTGCTTCCATAAACAGCCTGCCTCAGCAGAACTGCCGCAGGTGAAACATGACTTGAGTGGAGTCACATTCAGCTCTCAGCTGTCAGCAGTTCAAGACTTGGAGATACCCAGTGATCAAGCAACAACCTTCTGCTCAGAGAACTTTCTCACCCTCTCCAGAGGAGGAGCATGAAACCTTATTCATCCCTCCGGGAATAGATCCTAGCACTGAGCAGCTGTTCATTAGGGAAAGTCAATGCTGTCACTGCTGTTATTCCGCAGACAATAAAGGAGCAAATTGCCCATTGCAAGCACACACCTTCAAAAATGCAAGCACAGAGTTTGCTGAGCACGACCCACTCCCACACCCAGCTCTCGGCTCACAGACCTCCTGGATCACGCAGGGAGAGTGGTGACAGCAGCCACAGAAGAGAACAACATCCTCCACACCCATCTTCCTCCTCTGTTCACATTGTCCTGGGAAGTTATCTGTGATTTATTTCTACTTCTGGTCTAGACCCAGAACGGTACAAAATCTCTAGGCAGGATGCTTGGCAAACCATATACTGACACACTGATGGATCTGATCTGAGGGCAATATCAGTGACATCAGGTCTCAATGTTGAGCATGCAAGCAAGTTTCTTCTTTTGCAGCTGCCCTCACCTGAGCTCAGCAATGCACCACTTCGCAGTAAGGAGCCAAGGGAGAAGCAACCCCAGTGGCTTCCAGAACTGCCACGTACAGCTCCTCACACACCCTAGCACCCAGGCTTCCCCAGCATGTCATCAGCCAAGTGCTATCTCCTCTCCACAAAAGCAGCTCTTGCAACCACACATCCTTTCCAAAAATTACTATTACCTCCTCTGAGCCTCCTCCTGCCCTTTTGCTATGCCAGTCCCTGTGATTCTTTGAATCCAAGCTCTGTTTTCCTTCATTAGTACAGCTGGAGATGAGTAACTTCTGCTTTCAATACAACAGGCTCAGGAGCTTTTAGATATGCATCCCAGAGGCTCAAAGGAACAGCTCCAGCACTAACCACACCTAAGTATTGAGACTGCAAAAATCTTCCCACTGTGATCTAGCAGCACCAATGCCCATAGCTTCACTAGAAATGCTCATTTCTTCCCTTCTTAGGGGCTGCGATGGCAGAAATCCAACCTGGAAAAGCAGATAAAAAGGAACTGCTTTTTGCTTGGCTTGAGAGAAACGGCCTGGCTTTCCCCAGCTCCTAGTGCCCTGCATGGAGCTTGGGAGCACACAGTGACAGCCCCGACACCAGAGGGGCCAATGGGCACTCCTCCTTCATTCCCCTCAACTTAACACAACTGAGAGATTTCAGCCCAGGAACTGCTT